AGATAACGTGCATGTTGCATAAAATACCTTTTAGACATAAAACATCTAAAAGATGCTCACCTTATGCAACATAAATGTTATTTGGTGTTGTGGAAACAGCGAATTTACTTTGAAAATATATCTTTTATACAGAGACAAATATAAATTTTATTATAAACACAAATTAACATAATCGTTGTCAGTTATTATTTCAATTATTTACATTTCTGAATTATTATTCTAATTTTCATAGATAAATGCAATGACATAAGTTTGCATAATAATAAATTAAATGAACCGATACTATATCGAAAAACACTATTATGATACATGTTAATTTAATACAATTTAATTATCTGCAATTTTAACTACGCAATCAAAACAAATAGATGATGACAGTATGAGAAACTTCATAGAATGTGTTTTGAATAAATGTTTGTATTCAGTTTAAACTTCATCTGCCGATATTATCCATATAAGCTATATCAACGTTGTCGTCGCGATTTCCTAAATATGATGTTTCATCCCAGTGCGTGCGCGCGCGCGCGCACGTGTGTGTGTGTGTGTGTGTGTGTGTGTGTGTGTGTGATGCACAGATTTTATCTCCAGTTGATTTAAAAAATTCATGAATCGAAAATGTTTATTTAATATTGCAGGTAGATTTTCAAATGTGTATCTATGCATCGGCGGCACTCGATCTTATCTATTTACTCAATTCAAGTATTTCCTTCGATGTTATTGAACACAAGACAGATATTTTATTAAACGAATATCTTCACACCTTGTCAATGACTATGAAACAATTGAATTGCAAGACGCAGCCGCCTACTATGGAAGAACTGAAGGTTTCCATAAAACGAAAAGCTAACTATGGAATGATGACATCTTTCAACATTTTACCGTTCTTTCTGTGCTGTAAGTCTGATGCAACAGATTTGGATGAAATACTGTGCAGTGGTACTTATACGAATCCAGGTTTAAAGAATGAGATTTTTAAAGAAATATTGATAAAAAGACTGCCACTGTATGACGAGTGGGGTTTGCTAGATCTGTATAGTGATCATATTTAGTCTTCATATTTAGTGAAACATTAGTAGAACATTAAAGTTGAAAAAAAATAAAAGTTTAGGAAATAATAATTAGATGTAAATGTAACGAATACATTAAAATTATTACAATAAACGAAGAATGTTGCCATTTTAAAAAAGATTTTTTTTTTTAAATTAATAAATGTGAAATTGTATATAATGATATTTTTGGTTCGAAAAATTAAAAAATTAAAATTTTTTAAAATATTCTATCAACATATAGATAACAGAGATAACGGGGTATATACATATGGTACATGTAGATACATTTTGTTTTGTTATGTAAATACTGCTCAACATACGAGAAGTAGACTTCCAAAATGCATTTTGTCCAAAATTTTATTTATTGAGTTAAAGATGACATAGTGTTCAGTGTTTAGATTCAAAGATTTAAATTTTGAACTACTCTATGTTTTGAAAGATTTCTACACCATTAATTTATGTGCTACAAAATTAACATCTTGACATTCGAAATGCATTATGTTCTTTAATTAGGGACAAGCAATATATATTTGTTTAATATTTTTAGCAACTGTTTAACAATTTTGTTGAACACTTCATATCTTATCAATTGATAAATTATTATTTTCTTATGGCTTTTTTTTCGTTTTCTGAAAATTATAAGTTTTGAACAAAACACATTTTGAAAAAGTGTTCCTCATATGATAAAAAAAAAAGATGTTAAAACTGATGTGTGTATGTATGTGTCTGTCTCTCTCTCTCTCTCTCTCTCTCTGTGTGTGTGTGTATGCAAATTTCGTAAAAAAAAAGATGTATATAATATTTTATTGTACCAAAAATAATATATAAATTAATTAAAATATAAAATAAAGTATTTTAGGTAATTAACATATTAGAATGCGTACAAGAAAAATTGAAAAAAATTACAAAATAATATGTAATAAAATAACCGGATCTATATGTTCTGAGATCTTTTTTCTAATTTTTGTTGAATCTAAAATTGCAAATTATTCAAATCTATTTTAAAAAAGTAACATTCCTGAACTTTAATTTTGCTGACGATCAGTTAATTCGTATTCTGATTTCTTATGTGCAAGACTACTTTATGTACAATTATTGTAATTGATTATTATTGATTAAGTTATTAATAGCAAATTTTTAATATTAAATTTATTTTAATATTGAATTTGATTTGAACTATTGCACTTGCTTCTCTCGAATGACAGTCTTTTCCTCCATTCCTCAGTGCGTAGAATCGCCGTATAAGAATATCTTAAATGAATCAATCAGTTCATAAAATGAAACAGAAATATGTAATAATAATCAAATGCAATTAATCTGTAGAAATGAAATATATTTGATAAATATTTTATCAAAACTTTACATTTTCAAATAACAGCACGTGGCGATTGGCGCGTGGCTTTAGTATCTGTTTCTGTGCGGCGTATTTATGTACTGATAGCGTGCTGCCATTTAAATTTGAACTCTTATTTTGGCAGGTTAATGTTATTCCGAATATCTTCAGTATTTTTTTTAACGTAATCGCGATAAGTGTTAGATAATACGAAACGTCGTATATATTGCATAATCGTTCACACATTACTTGCATGTTTGTTAGCTGATTTCGTAAATGAATCGAGATTATAATTTATATATCACAGATGTTTTATGTAGTTTAATTGTTTAGAAATAAAAGACAATATGAAATAGGATTCATAATTGTTTCGTGACGATAGTTATTTTTGTTTAATAGAAAATATTTCTTCCGTTGGAATCTCTATACACATATATCTATACATTTTTAACTGTATCATATAAATTAGAAATAAAGTAACATTAATAAATAACATTACTCAAATAACACAATTTATGTGATTCCACAATTAATATAGTATGCATAATTAATAACAATTTAACTAATTTTTCGTTTTCGTGCGTCTTCCGCGATATCTATGAAAACGTATAAAAATTAAACGTTTCAGAATTTTATGATTGTTTACCGACAATGACAATAAACCGGAAATAAACCGAAAAATTATTTTTCATTCTTATTAATATCTAGCCATCTCGATTGATGTCGTAATCATATATTATAGAAATTATAATTAAAAGTTTATCTTTTCTGCCTATTCTAAATTTGTTTAGTTGCACTGGTGATAAGTTTTGTCAGAATAAAATTTTTAATGATATTTTAAAAAATTAAATAATAGTAATTGTAAATAATATTTGAAAAATTAAATTAATTTAATTTAAGATGTAAATATTTTAATGATTTATATTTATCTTTGTTCCGATGTGTAACAAACGAAGTTTTTCGTAATTACGATGATCGATATGGTTGCATAGATTTTAATTCATATACCATCGAAATAGTCGACGTTCATAGTCTTTAGGCGCATCGAATTTTATAATCATTTTACAATTACATATTTATTAGAGGCATTTGTTTTTCGATTTATCGTCGAATATATATTCTACGTAATATTTTTACAGAATTAAGAACAAAGCTAATGATTTGCACATAACTAGTAATATCGTTTACTGTGCGATTTTTTTATAGTGACGTACGTTAATTAATTTTTTGTACATCGTATGTGTTATCGTTTTATCATCATTCTGTAGAATTAGCATTTATTGCTTGATTGAAGAACAAATGTGCATGAGTTAAATGTTGATCTAATCAAGAATAACTTCAGTTATTCATGACTCTAATGTAGATATCAAGTGTGATGAATGAATATAACGATGCAGATATAAAGTCTGTAAATTTAGTCCTGCATCATTTTAAAGCTGGCTTACGAAACGGAACAGTGAAATAATTTAAGAGAAATTAACGATTGAAGACGAAGACGAATAAAACGTCAAGTCAATTCTTTTAATGCTTTTTATCAATAGTCCGTATTTTATTTCTGCATTAAACTGCAGCATTAGAATTTTTTTCTTACTTTCACGAAATATCTAGTTAATAAAAAAATTCTGAGAATTTTTTCAGAATTTTTTCAGAATTTTTAATATCATATTTTCTCACATTGGTAAAAAAAAAGAAAATGCAGTACTAAAGTATGATAAAAAATTCTGAAAAAATTTTTATAACTTTATGAGAAGAAAATAAATGATTTTTGTTTCTCGCAGTTTTTCTATAAAGTTGATAGTATTTTAGTAAACAATTATACAAGGCCTATATTTGGCAATTTTTAGTAATTAATATCTTGTTAACTATTGCGAAAATTGCAAAATGGTAGAGGACTTTTCGACTCAGTTTAGTTCTCTCTACTTGCTCATAAAATATTTGACGATTATTTCCAGACACTATATACATAATATCTGAAAATTATTAATAAAGTTTATGTTATGCATATTTTTTTATATTTTCTTTAATTACATACGTTATATTTTATAAAATCTAGATCTGTAATATTGACTCTACAATGAGTCTATAGTCGGAAGTCTAATGGCGAATTCGATTGAAAGAACTAGACCGCACTAGTACATATTAAAGGCATTGTACTGATTTAATTTGATTAAATATAAATATACATGTAATATATACATATAAATGAAATGCAAATATTTCGAATAATAAAATACATATTTTACCTAATAGTACAATAAAATGTATTGAATATTTCAGGATTTAATCGATTTCTATGTTTATATATAAATATATTTTTACGTTATTTTATGTATGATTTTGTGTATGATTTTGCATACTGAGTACGCCCAATCGAATTCGCTATAAGTCTTAATCAGTAAAGTTGACCAATTAGCTTTAATCGTACAAGGCTATTAGTCAACTTCATCGATAAGACTTAAGAATATCGACTTATTACATGATCAGCATGACAACTGATTCCAGTAATATATTATGCATTAATACTATTTTAAAAATTCGCGTGTGAGCGTGCTAATGCGTGTACCTGTGCGTACAAAAGATTAGATTAGTGCTGACGATCAGCGCAGTATTTCAGTAATTCAGTCACACTAACTGGCAACCAGAGCAGCGTTGCCGCTGTAGATTCCTTTCGTGTCCGTGCGACGTTTTCCGCCATTAATACGTTGTAGTTTGGGAAGTCCGTAGTACATAGGCGTACATAAATAAGTTCAAAAAGGTAAGTTCGACAAGGAGACGTCCTTTCGAAAGAAAGTTGCATTGGATAGTGGTCGGGAAGGCAGGGTGCAGCTTCGGATCAATTGTGTCGACTGGCACAGGAATATAAGGCTTTCCGATCCGAGGAATCTCGTTCCGCATGCATGAATCAGCCACGTACCCGTTGACCTTGCGTAATTTTAATTGCGTACATCGTGCCGGCCTTGCTGGATGTAAAAGCTATTTATTTGCTGCATAGTAAGAGAGCTCTGGTCCAACATACATAAACACTGGATGAATGTTTGTAAAATCGTTGGATGAATGTTTGTAACCGTTAATTATTTTATTCTTCTCTTGGGTAAGTTGCATAATATAGCATACTTCTCTTGGGTAAGTTGCATAATATAGAGTATGGCCAATGCCAGTCAAGTTGGTGAGATTCTCTATACGAGTATTGACTCATATAGAGGATCTCACCAACTTGACTGCGTCCACATCTACAAAGAGATCGAGGCCTATGCGAGGACTGGATCAACGCGTATGAGGAAACATCTTTACCTGCTGGGATCCAATTTCACATGCATGACATCGATATGTATCAAAGAACTCGCACTTTTAGCAACACATACGAGGGCAAATCAATAAGTTTTTAGAAAAACATAGTAAAACACATTTTTTTTTATCGATTCATTTTTATTTCTCAACATAGTCTCCTTTCAGCTCAATACACTTGATCCAACGATTCTCCAGCTTTTTCAAGCCGTCCGAATAATATGATTTGTCCTCCCCTTCAAAATAAGCCTCTGTTTCGGCGATGAACTGCTCTCTGGTGGTGAATCTCTTTCCTCCGAACCATTTCTTCAGGTTTAGAAACCGAAAACAGTCGCAGGGAGCGACTAAATCTGGCGAATATGCTGGATGGGGAAGCAATTCGTAGCGGAATTCGTTGAATTTGGTCATCAGTGCCGGGCACGCGTGAACCCGTGTATTGTCTTGATGGAAGAGCACTTTCTTCTTCGCCAAATTTATGGGAACGTTTTTTCCTTAAATTTGTTGAAACGGTCCAATAAGGCTGCGTAATCGCCATTGATCGTTTGCTTCGATGAAGGTAATATGAATTATACCGCGTGCATCCCAAAAAACTGTGGCCATCACCTTTCCGGCCGACTTCACGGTCTTCGCCTTCTTCAGAGCTAATTCACTCGGTGAAGTCCATTGTTTTGACTGTTCCTTCGTCTCGAGTATGAAGAAATGGATCCATGTTTTATCCACAATAATGAATCGACGCAGAAATTCATCTGGATTATGTTGAAACATCTCCAAACATTGTTTTGAAATCATCACACGATCGCGCTTATGGTTCACAATGAGCAAACACGGCACCCATCTTGCCGATAGTTTTTTCGTACCCAATTGCTCGTGCAAAATTGAAATCACTATGTCATGTGATGTGCCTATGGCCTCAACAAGCTCGCGCACTTTCACTCGATCAGTCAAAACAATATCGTGAATTTTATCGATGATTTCTGGCGTAGCAGCCTCAATTGGACGTCCCGAACGAGGTGCATCACATGTGGATGTACGACCACGTTTATTGGTCATTCACTCAATTGTATACAGTCGTAAACGCTGGTGCAGACGTGCTATGAATATTATTCAACTCATCTTTGATTTCTTTCGGTGTTAAATCTTTCATATGTAGATGTTCGATCACTCCACGAAACTCGTTTTTTTTCCATTTTGCAAAAAATACAAAGGTTGTTCGCTTCAATAGTCTACAGAAATGAAACCACGCGATGAATTCCGCTCAAAATTTGACAGTAATCAGCTAAAAAATGCTACTTGTCAAAAAGTAATGTGACACTGCCCTCTGATGTGAATGCCCTCTGACAGATTTTCTACTTATTGACTTGCCCTCGTATTTGTATAAAACAATCTAATTCAGGATATTCCCGAAGGAATTGTCATTACAATAACATACTCTATAGAGACTTTACACTGCTAATACTTGCGATATCTCGCTACATTCATTTAATGTAAATGTTATTACGTCGGGCGCATGCCACTGACTTACAATGATTGAATGATTGAGTTGAGAATGATTATTAACTTAACTGTATATCGACATCATCATTATTATTAGTAATAATCCCTTGATTATACTTGCATCCGTTCATTGTGCATGTTTGACTATGTTTATGTTTATGTTTATGTTATATTGATATTTCATTTTATGCTCATACTGTCGTTTATTATACTGCTATTCATGAATGTGCTTGTGTTGAGTCAGATCGAAGCTATCCGTATTCAGAGAATTAACAATTAGTCCCTCTAAGTGAAATATCGATACTTGATTTGTTATTCACAACAGAAAATATCTTTCTTTTTTGGATTACGTTTTATTAATATTTCGTGACGCGTTATTTCGATTCTTAATTTAATAAGCAATGCTAACCTTTCAATACTTAAATCTTTATTATGATTAATTTTAGATTTATTCGATCTGACTCCAGTGAATATGAAAACATTATAATAATGATATTAATTATCATAGGACAGTCAGACAATGATGCGCTGTCGTGGGAATTATTCCCACACGGGAATGTTCGTGTGCATGCGTAAGCTGCCGTTACAGTTTCGTATTGGCTGCTTTTGAACATCGTATCGGCGATACGCATCCGCAATATTCCCGTGTGGGAATAATTCCCACGACACCGCATCACTGTCTGACTCTCCTATGATAATTAATATCATTATAATAATGTTTGCATATTGTTACATCTAGTGTACTAATGTATTCATAGTGTGTTTAATTTTTTTAAATATTTTACTCGGTTAATCTCATTGATTATTATATCTCTCCCGAATTCAAATACAGTAATTTTCTGTTTCGAGTGTATGTCTCATTCCTCCTCCTTGATCAGTATGATATTTGAATGAGCACTATCGAACAAACTGTGACAAGTGTAACAACTAACTCGGCACTTAGAGCCAGTTATTACAGACGTTATCATCTTATATTTTCAATTAACAAATAACAAAGGTAATCATGCTATTAAATTATAAAAATATTTTCTGTGTTGTTTAAGCATGTCACTACTGAAAAATTTCCTTGCTCTAAATATAGAATTAAGCAACTTACATATAGCATTGGCTCAGTCCCTAATACATTTTAATTGAATGTTTTTACATATTGGAACTGTTGTAATTAATTGTTTAAGTTAAATTGTTTTTGTGTTCTGTAACACAGCGAAAAGGATGGTTTATTAATAACTATCTCTAATTCCAATTCCACTTTCAAGAAATGACGCTAGAAACATCGACATGGTTAAATCTATGCTTTGTGGAGAAGATCCTGCGAAAGTCGGCAAACGACGATTCGATTCAGGTGATCGATATAGTTTCGAAACCGGCTACAAACAAGGGTGACAACTACACTAGCGACATGATTAGGATTAATGCGGAATATACACGCGACTCTAAGATTAAAGAAAAAAAATCCATTATTATCAAACTCTCTCCTGTACATGGTATTCGACAGAAGATCGTAAGTTAATTTAATGTGTACAATGTTTTTAATAGAAGAAGTTGTTTTAATATATAATGTATAATATTTCTAATATCAAAAGAGAGGGGATGATAGAGAGAGAGAGAGAGAGAGAGAGAGAGAGAGAGAGAGAATTGATAAATTTTATTATTTTGGAGTACTTCTGTTCAACAGGAAGATTAGGACAATTATTTTTGGATAATCAGTGATTTAAATCAACTTTATATAAGCGAAAGTACACTACTTTGTATTTAAGGAAGACATTCTTTATTTGTTTCAAAACAAATCTCGAAACTTTACACTACATAAATTTTATATATAGATCTTTACGTAGGCCTTTGTATTACAAATACTTGCATGTTAGATTAAAGGTTCTACTTATTTATCTTAAATAAATTTGTCACAGGTCACACAAGCAGGTTTCTTTCACACAGAGATGTCGATGATGTCCGATACTTTGGATAAAATGAATAAGTTGTTGGGGCCAAAGCATCGCTTGAGTGCGAAAATTCTCTATGCGCAAAATGAAAATCCAACGCTTCTAGTGATCGAAGATCTCGCATCTCTCGGTTTTCGAATGGCTGATCGTTTTTCTGGTCTCGATTTAGATCATTCTCTATTGGCATTTCGCGGACTTGCCAGATTTCATGCAGCCTCCGTTGTCTTATGCGAAAAGGTAAAAAACCGTTTCAATGCAATTAAAATTCGGATCAATGGAATAAGTGCAAGGACCATGAAAGATGAAATTTACGCATTAATATTAAAAATAAAAGACTTTATTAAATATAATTACATAATTATATATGAAATATATTTTCTCGGTCAACCATCCAATCTGAATAAAAATTTCAAATTTTATAATACGAATACTTTTAATTAGTATATAATATTCATTTTGAAATAAATTAAATTTAACAGAAACAAATACTTATAAACGGTACTAAGAACAAAAAAATATTTTTAAAACTTAATTTGGCGTACTTTTTTATAAATATACTTTTGCGCAGTGTACAACTTGTATACGCTCACCTCAGCAGATCTAATAAAAATTCGCTTAAAAAGTTTTAAATACGTTCCATGTAAAATTTTTTCACATGCGTATTTTTTTGATATGCGTATTAGGTTCTCTTGTAACTTTCTCCAAAAAAGATGTTTTAAAGTCGTGAAGAAGATGTATATTATATAAGTAGATTTCTTGTGTAGTTTATTGATTTATATAGTAATCTGCATTTCCTGTTCCCTACAAACTTTATTATTTAACTTTATGATTAAATGAATAAATACATTAAAACATACTTTAATAACAATATTCTAATATTCAGAACCCGAAGCAAAAAGAGATGTACACAAAAGGAATGTTTTGTAATCAGCACTCGCTAGAAACGAAATCTTTCTTCATTCTGGCTGTCAAAGCTTTAGCAGATGAGATTGCAAACTGGCCAGAAGCGAAAAAGTAAGATTTGTATTATGACAATATTTATTTTACTTGTATTTATGACAATATTTATTTTACTTTTTAATTAACTTTATTTAATGTTTATTATATTCTATGATACATGGCATTAGGTAAATATTTAATATGAAGAGAAAGATCATGTTAAGAAGAAAATTGCAAATATAAATACAAATTGCATTGTTTAGTGCAAATATTTATATTGCCTTTACACCAATTTTTTAAATATAATTTTACATTTGGTTTTTATTACTAGATACTCGAAAAAAATTGCTAAACTTTCCGATCACATATACCAAATAGGAATAGATGCACATACGCTCTGTGAAGACGAATTTAATGTTATTAATCATGGTGATTGTCACATAAAGAATATATTATTCAAATATGACTATAATGGGAAACCTACTGATCAGATTTTTGTAAGTACTATTACGTCATAAAAAATATATACTTCCTTCAAATAGCTCATTACTTTATTATAATCATGACTTTATATTGGAATTAAGATTAAATGAGAACTAAGTTTAAATAAACATTTATGAAACTTTTAGTATGTTTACTACTATTTATATGTGATAAGACGAGATAACGTGTATGTTACATAAAATATCTTTTAGACGTAAACCATTTAAAAGATACTCATCTTATGCAACATGAATGTTATTTAGAGTGTTGAAACAGCAAATTAACTTTGAAAATATATCTTTTATGCTGAGACAAATCTAAAATTTATGTAAACACAAATTAACATAGCTCATTGTCAGTTACTTTATTCCAATTATCTACATTTCTGAATTTTTATTGTAATTTTCACAGTTAAATGCTACGATATAAATTTGCATAACAATGAATTAAAGAAATCAATACTGTTTCGAAAGACACTATTACGGTATATGTTAGCATAATTTAATTATCTGCAATCTTAGCTACAGCAATCAAAACAAATAAATAGTGATGGTATGAGAAACTTGAAAATGGAAAATTGAACATAGAAATTTTGAAAATGTGTTTTGAATAAATGCATGCAGTTTAGTCGTGTAAACATATTCATCTGTCAATGTTATCCATATAAACCATCAACATTGTCGCCGCGACTTCATAAATATGATATTTCCCCTTGTCTCTTCTACCCCACATTCTCGCTATGCACGCGCGCGCGTGTGTGTGTATGTGTGTGGGTGAGTGATGTACAGATTTTTATCTCCAATACAATTGACTTAAAAAATTCATAGATCGAAAATATTTATTTAATATTGCAGGTAGACTTTCAAATGTGTATCTACGCGTCGGCGACACTCGATCTTCTCTATTTGTTCAATTCAAGTATTTCCATCGATGTTATTGAACATAAGACAGATATTTTATTAAACGAATATCTTCACACCTTGTCAACGACTATGAACCAATTGAATTGCAAGACGCAGCCGCCCACTATGACAGAACTGAAGGTTTCCATAAAACGAAAAGCTAGCTATGGAATGCTGACATCTTTCATCTTTTTACCTCTTTTGGTGGGCTATAAGTCTGAGGCAAAAGATTTTGATGAAATATTGTGCAGTGGTACTTATACGAATCCAGGTTTAAAGAATGAGATTTTTAAAGAAATATTGATAAAAAAATTGCCACTGTATGATGAGTGGGGTTTGCTGGATCTTTAATGTATACTTTAGTGATTACAGAAATCTTGGAAATAAAGATATTAGATGTACTATAAATATAACAAATACATTAAAATTAATAACAATAGACGAAGAATATTAATGTTTTAAAAAAGGATTTTTTTTTAACTGATAAACGTGAAATTATATATGGTGATATTTTTGGAAAAAAATAAAAAAAATATATATATACAAATATATTTTTAAGGTAGTTTCATTATTGACTCCTTAAAGTTTCAAGATAAATCGTGATTTTTTAAATATTCTACCAACATATCAGAGATAATGGTATGTATATACATATATGTAGATATAATAATATTTTGTTTTGTTATGTAAATACCTCTTAATTCAACATACGAGGAGCGAACTTTCAAAATGCATTTTGTCAAAAATTTTTTTTGTTTATTGAGTGTTTAGAGACTTAAATTTTAAACTACTCTACAATGTTCTGAAAGATTTCTATGCCATCAATTTATGTGCTACAAAAGATCTTGACATTCGAAATGCATTGTGTCCTTTAACTAGAAAATATATTTTTGTTTAATATTTTTAATAACTGTTTAGCAATTTTGTTGAACACTTCACATCTTACCAATTGATTAATTATTATTTTCTTAAGGCACGCAATTTTCTTATGGCTTCCTTTTCTCACTTTCTTAAAATTAATTTTGGACAAAACGCATTTTGAAAAGTTGTTCTTCATATGCAGGGTTGTTTTGGTTAAAACTTTTTTTTTTAAACAAATGTTTAAAACATATTTTTAGCATCAGATCAAATTAAACACGCTTTTTTTTAAAACAATTTAAAACAAATGTTTAAAATGTTATTTTTTTTAAATGTGTTTTTAATACTATTTAGTAGAGGAGGAGGTATTCCAGTTACATTTTACCAGAAAATGAAAGTAACTTGTTATTTGTAACGAAGTTACAGTTACAAGTTTAATTATCCAAATTTTAGTAATATTACGTAATATAACAGAAATATTTCGCGTGTTGTTGTTAAATATAATATATATTGCGAAATATATCGTCATATTATTGTTCCTGTAACTATACATACACGTTGTAATTGTACTTCCACAATCTGCTTGGTTATCGAGAAATTATTTTTATGCATATTGCAAATTTACAACGTGTGGACATTTACAACTATTACAATGGGCCTTAAAATTATCCTGTATAATAGTTGTAATTTTTCACAACAATTTTTTACAGTGCATAATGCTTGAGACTAGAGGAAGCCCCTAAGCCCATCCGCTGTGATGGCGATTGTAGAAAACGTTTAAAAAAAAGTAACGGAAAAGTAACGAAAAGTTACTTTCTCAAGCAACGGTAACTGTAAAGAGTTACTTTTAAAATCGATAACTAGTAACTTGTTACTTTTTCTATTTGGTAACGAGTAACTATAACTTGTTACTTTCCACTGTCTGCATTTTACACGATAACTTGGTTTATTTGGTTAATAATGAATATTTAACTTTAAAACTTGACAATTACAGTCATTAAAATGATGTCGAATCAATTCTGGATTCAAAATTACGAAATATTTATTACTTATACGATAATTTATTACTTATTAGGATCCTATTAATAAAAATGTGGCAACAATGCATAACCGTAGCGATATCTTCCTGAACTCGTTTGAACCTTTATTTCGTGCTCTTTTGCGCAATATATCCTACCAGCACATTGTGTAGTTTACGTCACCGAATTTATTATTTTTACAATGAGTGCCAAATTCTTGAAGCGGTACGAGGCAGTGTTTTTAGTGAATGGAATGGCCGGCAATGTCCCCAGATGCTAATCCCATTGAAAATGTGTGGTCGTACATGAAGATGAAACTCAAAGGAAAGCCAGTGTACACGGTGGAGCAGCTGTCATTTCAAATTAAGAAGATATGGCGATCTTTGCCAAAGAAATATGCAGATAACCTCGTCGAAAGTATGGAAAAAAGGTGTCATGCAATAATCAGTAATGGAGGTGATTGGACAAAATACTAGGGCAGGTAATTACGCAATAGCTAATAATGTGTACTTCAAAAAAAAAAAATAAAAAACTGTCTAAATGTTTATAGTTTTTTGATTATGGCAGACACTTTCTTATTGAACAGACTGTAAAAAGTTAGTTTTTTGTTTAGAAAATAGTAATTTGGTTATAAAATTAACAAAAAAGTAAAGTGTATTGCAGAATATATGCATGTATATAAATGTATTTACATACACATGTATACCTACAACTTTATGTATACAGGGTATTTGGAAAATAATGATCTCTGAAATCTTTTGTATAGGGGCAGAATGGACTAAACTAAGAAAAAAAGTCCTCTATCATTTTCGCAATAATTGACAAGATATTAATTGCTAAAAATTGTCGAAAATTGACCTTTAATAATTTTTTACTCAAATACTATTAGATTCAACTTCACAAAAAAACTGCAAAAGACAACAATTGTTAATTTTCTTTCATAGAATTCTAAAAATTTTTTTATAATTTTTTCAGAATTTTTTAATACCGTATTTTCTTATATTGGTAAAAAATAAGAAAATACAGTACTAAAAAGTGGATAAAAAATTCTGAAAAAATCATACACTATCATTTTCGTCAGTTCAGATATCGTTTTCAATCAATTTCTATTTGACCATGTTCTATCAAAATTAATAATATTCTTTCGTGTTTTTGTTTTGTAAATTTTAGAATCTGAAATTTAATCTTCAATTTTGGAATCTGAAATTTACGATTGAAGATATGATAGAATATTATTAATTTTAATAAAACACACGACTAAAATAATTGATTAAAACTGACTTTAAGTTGTATAATACAAACGATACAGAAATAAAGAACATATGTTACGTACTTTAAACGAGTTATCTGAAATTTACGATTCAAAAACATGATAGCATATTATTAATTTTAATACAACATGACCAGATAGAAATAAATTCAAAACGGTATCTAAGCTATATGACGAAAACGATAGACAAATATTATATAACGATATATAAAAAATTTATTTAATATAGCAGGTAAGTAATTTGAAATTTACTATTAAAAATGATATTTAAGCTATATAATAAAAACGATATAACGATATAATTTAATTTAGAATGTCCCTATATGTTAGATTTTATAAGATAGATTTTATGGAAAAATTATCGTATTCTATAATTGGCGACATTTAGATTATTAAATAATTAATTACTCAATGACTTAAATGAATTAATTATATAACAACGGTGGTAATAATTTTTTTATAACACCTATTTAAACATATAGGGACATTTTCGGATTAAATTGTATAGATTCACATAAATCATCCTGTCATTTATTTTATGTTACATCAAAGAATGTGACAAAGAAGCTTGTGTATATAATTACTTATTCTGTCGTTTAAATAAGATAAGATATAAAACGATATATTAACTGTACAGCTTTATTATGTTTGCTGAAATCTGCAAAATAATTGTTCAATGATCTGAAGAATATCATATTATATTGCCAACGCTAGGATACAATAATTTTTCTATAACATCTGTCTTAACATTTCTCAAACATATAGAAACATTTTTGGATTAAATTGTATAAATTCATATAAACATCTTTTCGTTTATTTTTTATTAAATTAGATAATGCAGTGATCTAAGTGACACATTATATTGCCAACGATTGAGTACGATAATTTTTCTATAATATCTGTCTTATTCAAACATATAGAAGACGTTTTCAGCTTAAATTATATAATAGGTTCATATAAATATTCTTTCATTTATTTCTTATTATTTCAGACAATGCAATGATCTATGTGACACATTGTATCGCTAACTTATAACTTTTCCATCTGTCGTGATTTTAATGTCCGATAGATACGATAGATTTTGATAAAAATTATATAGGATTCCTATCAGATTTCTATAAATTTCTACCGTTTTTTTATCAAAATTTTTAAGCAGGCGACACTAAAGAATTTATGATTTCACAATTTATGATTTCGACATCTTATTTTTGTCACAATCACGTTGGATAAAGACATATATATATATTTCAAAAGTAAAAGAGATGTTAAATGACAGTGATATATATACACTAATAGAAAAAGATCCTACTAATAAATTTACGAAATCTTTAAGAGATATGTTGACGAGGTGGAAAAGTCACGGACATATAGATAATGCGAAATATAGACATTTATACTGCAGTGATGGGCTGCCGAGAGCGTATGCGCTACCAAATATACACAAACCGGAATGTCCTTTTAGAATCATCATTTCAACAATTGGTAGCTCTCTTTATAATTTAGCTAATTTCATACACAATATCATAATAGAAACAATTCCCGTAGCCAGTAGCTATATTAAGAATAGTTTCCAATTGATCGATAAACTTAGAAAAATCAAGTTTAACGATGAAGAGAAGTTAGTTTCGTTAGATGTTACATCACTTTTTACCAACATCCCCATAGATATAACAATAGATTGTATTAATGATAATTGATTACATATTACTAAAAAATGCACGTTACCGAAAAAATCGATACAATATGAATAATTATACAGTCAACATGAATTTCTGAAAATTTAATTATAATTATAATTATGATTATTAATTAGGATTGTAACTTGATATGTATCCCTTACAAAAATATTGATAGATAGTGATTGATTACTTATTTTGAGTATCAAAAGCATTGTTGTTTAATTTTGTTTAGTAATGAAAATACGAAAAAAGAATTTATACTAGGAATAAAGTTTATTTTAAATTCGACCTATTTTATGTTTGATAATAGCATGTATAAAGAATTTTGGAGTATTCATAGTTATCCATTGGCGTTATCTGTTGTCGCCCATCATTGCTGACCTTATGATGAAAAGATTAGAACGAAGCGCTTTAATACGGTTCCGATTACGAAGACAGAACTTATGTTAGAGTGTTTTAATTCTTTCCATCAAGATTACAACATACAATAGAAATCGTAGGTAATACTTTGAATTTTTTAGATATTACAATCATAAAGAAAGATAATTCGTTTGAGTTTGATTGGTATCATAAACAAAATTATTCTGGCAGATTCTCAATTATTTTTCTAATCACCCGACATCGCAAAAAAGAGGTATTATTATTGAAATAGTGGATAGAATTTTGATGCTGTCGGATGATAAGTACTACATAAATAATCTAAAATCTGTAATAAGTATTTTGCTAAAAAATGACTATCCGCTAGATTTTATTTTTGGTTCGATTAAGGGATGATAGGATTCAATACCATTTAAAGAGGAAAAAAATATACATACAAGAATCATATTGAGAATCCAATAGAACGATTGGCTTGGTTTCATTCATACCATCAATCACGGAAAAATTCAATAGATTTAATAGTAAGGACACAAAAGTTTCTTTTTACAGCACAAATAAATAAAAAATAAATAAATTAAAAAAATAAATAAAAAAAATAAATAAATAAAAATTAATTAAAAAAATTTATTAAAGCTTAAAAAGATCTGTGCCCAAAATTCAATAAAAATATTATAGTAGTATATAAAATTAACTGTAGAAATTGCGTCTTATGTTAATCAAATAGGAAGACAACTTAAGACGAGAATTGCGGAACATCATAACCATATTAATTGGAAAACTTCCAATCTTTCAGTAATAACCATGCATAGATTATAATTCAAACATGATTTTGATTGGGATAACATTTTAATTATGGATGAAAAGCCGTGCTACAGTAAACATATAATTTCTAAAATGATTAATAACAAAAACCAGGAAAATAGTTTAAATCTATAGACTGATACCATAGGTCTTTATAAATCATATTTATTAATAATAAACAGTATATGACTTTGCATCATCGGTTATTGATTCATTTTTGCGAGCCTTTGTTTAGTCGTAGCTAATTTCTTGTAACGTTAACATGTATAATATTAGTCCGACCATCTTGTTTGTTAATTATGCGATTGACTCTTTTTAAGAATGTTACTGACCACTGGATACATATTTATAACATTTTCATACTTTGTGACTTCTCCGGTGAGTTTTATTTTAATTGACGTTTATAATAAATAGTCTGGATGGTTCTCAATTTTTTTAGCATTACTTAGATATTACTTTTATACTACAAGATCCATGGAAATTTTAAGCAGTCGAGCAACTGATTGGGAACAATTTCCGTCGGTCAACGTACAATCCATCGGAGATGGTTAACTTATCTTTATTTTTATTTTTATTTGATTTATTATTCCACTTTATTATGAGTTACGACTGCGATTTTAATAAATCTGAAGATGGCTCGATCAAGAAGACGAAACATGTAATTTTTATTGTAAGATATTTTATATGTTATACCATCAAAAAATTTTTAGAATAATGATATCGAGAATAAGTATTAAAAAATTGACATGTGTTTATTAAAGTTTTACTGTTTTTTATTCTTATATGCCCTTTTACTTAATTTTATTTTTATCTAATAAATATGTAATTGTAAAATGATTATAAAATGCCCCTAAGAACTATGAAACGTTGACTATTTCGAGAGTATATTGAATCTTAAAATCTTATGATTTTATGCAACAATATTGATCATCGAAAAACTTTGTTTGTTACACATCGGAACAAAGATTAAATATAAATTATTAAAATATTTACACCTCAAATTGAATTAATTTAGTTTCTCACAAATATTATTTATAATTAATATTGTTTAATTTTTTGAAATATCATTAAAAATTTTATTCTGACAAAACTTGCATTATATAGTGAATCATCTTAGCGCAATTGCGAAAGTTTTCATCAATTCATATATATTGTCATTTTGGAATTTTATAATAATTTGTCTTTTGGGAAGATAAGAATTAAATAAAGCTAATGATGATTTGCACATATATAATAATATTGTTTACTGCGTAATTTTTTTATAGCTCTGTGATATACGTTAATTAATTTTTTGTGCAATTCATACATGTTATCGTCTTATCATATAATCGCTGTGTTATCGCTAATTATCGTTTGTTATCGCTTATTATATCCTGTAGGTTTAGTGCTTATTGCTTGATTGAAGAAATGAGTTAGATATTGATCTAATCAAGAATAATCTTATATTGAAGATTCTAATGTAGATAAACATGTGATGAATAAATTTAACAATGAAGATATAAAGCCTGTAAATTTAGTCCTGCTTGTATCATTTTAAAGCTGACTTACGGAACGAAACAGTGAAATAATATAAGAAAAATTAACGATTGAAGACGAAGAAGAATAAAACGTCATCAGGTTAGTGTAATGCTTTTAATGTAATGCTTTTTATCAATACTTTAGATCCGTCTTTTATTTCTGCATTAAACTGCAGAAATAGAATTTTTTTTTTACTTTTATGAAATATTTATCTAATAAATAAAAGATAGTTGATACATAGGATATGATGATATATACACTTGAAATTGCAAAAACATTAAATGTAGCATTTATTACTCAGTTTACTATATCATATATTATTATATATCATATAAATTCAATTATTTCTTTAGAAAATTTACTTTATGAATAATAATTTACAGTTTAACATATTTGAAGATATAAATATATATATTTATTTTTACAAATATATTTTTTACTTAAGCTTCAGTAACAATTCAAATATGATATTAAATATAAATATTGTCTTTTATTATATTACAAATAATCAAATAACATTATAATTAATATGTATCTATACATGTTTATAATAATCACATATTATACATATGATATCCGAAAATTATTAATAAATTTATGTTGTGCACATTTTTAAATATTTTTCTTTAATTATATGCGTTATATTCTCAAATCTAGATCTGTAATGACTCTACAATGAATCTGTAGTTGGAAGTCTAATGGCGAATTCGATTGGAAGAACTAATGCGCACTAATGCATATTATTAGCGTTCTACACTGATTTAATTTGAGTATATAAATGAAATGCAAATATTTCAAATAATAAAATACATATTTTACCTAAGTACAATAAAATGTATTGAGTATTTCAAGATTTAAATCGATTTCTGTGTTTATATATAAACATATTTTTACGTTATTTTATGTATGTTTTTAATATGCATACTGAATGCGCCCAATCGAATTCGCTATAAGTCTTAATCAGTAAAGTTGGCCAATCAGCTTTAATCGTACAAGTTGGCTATTGCTACGGATAAGACTTAGGACTACCGACTATCTATTTATTACGGGATCAGCATAACAACTGATTCCAATAACTGTAACAAGTGTAATAACTAACCGGCACTTAGAGCCGGTTATTATAGGCGTCTTCATCTTATATTTTCTATTAACAAATAACAAAGTTAATCATGCTATTAAATTATAAAAATAATTTCTGTGTCGTTTAAGCATGTGACTACTGAAAAATTTCCTTGCGGTGTATATATATATATATATATGTGTATATATAAATATAAAATTTTGCAACTTACATCCAATATTGGCTCTCAGCCCCTAATACATTTTAATTGAATATTTTTACATATTGGAACTGTTGTAATTAATTGTTTTAGTTAAATTGTTTTTGTGTTACAATGTAATACAATAAAAAAGGACATGACTTCTTGATAAATATCTTTAATTCCAATTCTACTTTCAGAAATGACGCTAGAAACATCATGGCTGGATAAATGCTTTGTGGAAAAGATCTTGCGAAAGTCGGAAAACGACGATTCGATTAAAGTGATGAATATAGTTTTGAAATTGGCTACAAGCAAGGGTGATAACTATACTAGCGACATAATTAGAATTACTGTCGAATATTCACGTGGCCCTAAGATTAAAGAAAAAAAATCCATTATTGTCAAACTCTCTCCTGTACATGGTGTTCGACAAAAAATCGTAAGTTAATTTAATGTGTGCAATGTTTTTAATAGAGGAAGAGAAATTGCTTTAATGTACAATTCTAATATCAAAAGAGAGAGGATAATTAATAGAGAGAGAGAGAGAGAGAGAGAGAGAGAGAGAGAGAGAGAGAGAGAGAGGTAACAGATTTATAAAGAAATTTTAAATCTAGACGTAATTCATAGATTAATTACCTATATTTTCTAAAATTAAAATAAAAAATTATATGACTGATATTTGATATTTGAAAGAATATTATCTGTTCAGAATTTTTTTCGTTTTTTTAAATTAATATTTATTAAAGTAATTATAGAATTTTCGAGAACATTGCATTAATTTTTTTAAATAAACTTTTATAAAAACTTTTATAAAAATCCGTAAATATGAGTCTCTTTCTTACATTCTGATTTAGATCATTAAAATAAAAAGAGAATTAATTCAGTACATGTAAGTAATTAATTATTTGCCTTGAGGTTGTTCCGCTCGATACCTTGCAAGCTCCTTTCTTCTCTCTAATTTATCTCTCTAATTTTCTCTACTGTTTCTCATTTTCTTGTGACATCCATACAACATTTGCAAAAACATTGTTAATTACGTGCTTGCACTAATTACCAAAATACGATAATAGCTAAGCCGTTTAATATAGCACTCCCGTTAATCACATGCGACATGTATTTTATACTATCTTGCGATAGAAAAATAACACGAAAGAAATTTGATTACATAAAGTGATATTTTCAAAGCACGCAAATTAGCATGTAGACGTCAAGCGGTTCTAATCTATAACTATCACTAATGTATAAACATTGAATTTATGCTACGCAATTGAAAAATATGAAATACAAGCTTGGACGTATTTATAGGGATGTAAATAAATTAAAAAATTTGGAAGTAGCTTCTCTCTGATGTTATGCGAGAAAATCGAATTGGTTTATTAAAGTGTGATGGACTGTTCAAAAATATATAATTAAAATATGTTATTATTTGCATATAACCATTGTGATGGATGCGTTCAAAAGCAAATGCATCTATATTGCAAATCTCGTAAAATTACAATACTTTATATTCAAAGAAGACATTCTTTATTTGTTTCAAAACAAATTTCGAAACTTTATACTACATAAATTTTATATATAGATCTTTACGTAGCTTTTATATTACAAATAATTGCATGTTAAATTAAAGGTTCTACTTATTTATCTTAAATAAATTTGTCACAGGTCACACAAGCAGGTTTCTTTCAAACAGAGATATCGATGATGTCGGATACTTTGGATAAAATGAATAAGTTGTTGGGGTCGAAGCACCGCTTGAGCCCTAAAATTCTCTATGTGCAAAATGAAAATCCAATGCTTCTAGCGATCGAAGATCTCGCATCTCTCGATTTTCGAATGGCTGATCGTTCATCTGGTCTCGATTTAGATCATTCTCTACTGGCATTTCGCGGACTTGCCAGGTTTCATGCAGCCTCCGCTGTCTTATGTGAGAAGGTAAATCACCAGGCGTGACACATTCAATTGCAACATCTCAATGCAGTTAATAAGAATTCGGATCAATGGAATGAGTGCAAGGACCATTGAAAGATGAAATTTACGCATTAATACATAAAAAACTCTTAATATTAAATATAATTATATAATTATATAATATATGAAATATATTTTCCCGGGCAATCATCTAATCCGAATAAGAATTTCAAACTTTTGTAATACGAATATTTCAAATTATTGTACAGTATTCATTTTGAAACAAATTAAATTTAATAGAAACGAACACTCATAATAAATAGCTAGAAAAAAAAATTTTTGAAACTTAATTTGGCATATTTTTTTTAAGTACATTTTTGCGCAGAGTACAACTTGCACTCGCTCATCTCAGCAGACCTGATAAAAATTTGCTTAAAAATTTTTGAAGACGTCCCTTGTAAAATTTTTTCGACATGCGTACTAGGCTCTCTCGTAACTTTCTTCAAAAAAGATATTCCTTAAATTCGTGAAGACATATATATTACTGTGTTGATTTCTTGTGTAGCTTATTGATCTACATAATAATTTGAATTTCCTGTTCCCACTGCAAACCTAATTATTTAACTCTATAATCCAATGGAAAATATTAAAACATATTTTAATAAAAATATTCTGATACTCAGAACCCGAAGCAAAAAGAGATGTATTTAAAAGAAAATATATATAATAAAATGCCAGAAATAAAATTGTTCCTCATTATGGGTATTAAAGCTTTAGCAGATGAGATTGCAAACTGGCCAGAAGCAAAAAAGTAAGATTTGTATTTATGACAATATATTTATTACTTTACTTTTTAATTAACGTTTACGATATTCTATTATACATGGCATTAGATAGGCATTTAATATGAAGAGAAAGATAATATTAAGAAGAAAATTGCAAATATAAATACAAATTGCATTGTTTAGTGCAAATATTTATATTACCTTCACATAAGTTTTTTAAATATAATTTTATATTTGGTTGGTTTTTGTTGCTAGATACTCGGAAAAAGTTTCTAAACTTTCCGATCACATGTACCAAATAGGACAAGATGTACATAAGCTCTGTGAAGATGAATTTAATGTTATTATTCATGGTGATTGTCATGTGAATAATATGTTATTCAAATATGACTATAATGGGAAACCTATTGATCAGATTTTTGTAAGTATTATTACGTCATAAAAAATCATGTACTTCCTTCAAATAGCTCATTACTTTATTATAATCATAACTTTATATTGGGACTAAGGTTAAATAAGAACTCTAATTTTAATTAAAACCATTCATGAAATTTTTAGTATATATTTACATATGATAAGATGAGTTCCAGATAACATACATGTTGCATAAAATATCTTTTAGACATAAGATATCTGAAAGATGCTCATCTTATGCAACATAAATGTTTGGAGTGTTTGGGGTTTACTTTGAAAATATATCTTTTATACATATAGACAAATATAAATTTTATTATAAACACAAATTAACATAGCTCATTGTCAATTACATTATTCCAATTATCTACATTTCTGAATTTTTATTGTATTTTTCATAGTTAAATGCAATGATATAAATTTGCATAACAATAAATTAACCGATATTGTTTCCAAAGACACTATTATGGTACATGTTAGCACAATTTAATTATCTGCAATTTTAGCTACACCATGGTGAAAATTTTTTTTATAATTTTATACGAATTGGAGCATTTTTCAAAAATACTCAGAAATATTCGAAAAGTTTACATCTTCTCTCAGAACTTCTCACATTCTGAAATTTCTCATCCCACAATTATTAAAAAGTATTTTTAAATTTTTTGTAACATTTCATCAGAAATTATACTTACAAAAAATCTTAAAAATCTTATGATATTTTATAATTAATATATACGAAAAATTCTGAAAAAAGATATATATTTTCTGAGAAATGTTCCAATTCATATAAAAAATGTGAGAAAGTTATAAAATTATGGAGAAATTCTGAAAAATTATGTGAAAAATGCTGAGAAAAATTTTCACTAAGGCAGCAATCAAAACAAATAGATAGTGACGGTATGAGAAACTTGAAAATGGAATGAGTGAATAAATGCATTGTATTCAGTACATCGTGTAGGCATATTCGTATGCTGATGTTATCATTTCAACGTTGTCATGGCAACTTCCTAAATATGATGCTTCATTTTTTTTTCCTTTGTGTGTGTGTGTGTGTGTGTGTGTGTGTGTGTGTGTGTGTGTGTGTGTGTATGTTGCACAGATTTTATCTCCAATATGATTGACTTAAAAAATTTATGCATTAAAAATATTTCTTTAATATTGCAGGTAGACTTTCAATTGTGTACCTATGCATCAGCGGCACTTGATCTTATCTATTTACTCAATTCAAGTATTTCCTTCGATGTTATTGAACACAAGACAGATATTTTATTAAACGAATATCTTCACACTTTGTCAACAACTATGAACCAATTGAATTGTAAGACGCAACCGCCCACTATGGAAGAACTGAAGGCTTCCATAAAACGAAAAGCTAGTTATGGAATGATGATATCTTTCAACGTTTTACCATTCATGCTGTGCTGTAAGTCTGAGGCAAAAGATTTGGATGAAGTACTATGCAATAATACTTTTGTGAATCCAGGTTTCAAAAATGAGACTTTTAAAGAAATATTGATAAAAAGACTGCCACTATACGATGAGTGGGGTTTGCTGGATCTCTAATGTATAATTCACATTTAGTGATATAGAACATTAAAGTTGAAAAAAAATAGAAGTCTGGGAAATAATAATTAGATGTAAACATAACGAATACATTAAGATTAATAACAATAGACGAAGAATGTTGACGTTTTCAAAAAGGGTTTTTTTTTCAACTAATGAACGTGAAATTGTATATGATTTTTTTTGATTCGATAAATTAAAAAATATTCTTTTATGATAGTTTCACTTTTGTCTCGTTAAAATTTTAAAATAAATCGTGATTTTTTAAAAATATTCTACCAACATATCAGCGATAACGGGATATATACATATACGTAGATACATTTTTTTTTGTCATGTAAATACTTAATTCAACGAGGAGCAGACTTCCAGATTTTTGTCCAAAATTTTATTTATTGAGTTAAAGATGGCATAGTGTTCAGTGTTTAGGTTCAGAGATTTAAATTTTGAACTACTCTATGATGTTTTGAAAGATTTCTACACCATCAATTTATGTGCTGACATTCGAAATGCATTATGTTCTTTAATTAGAAACAAACAATGTATATTTGTTTAATATTTTTAGCAAATAACGCATTTTGTTCCTCATATGTTAACAAAAAAAAATATTAAAAGAGATGTGTATAGGGTAGGTAATCCAAGAATCAATAGTACATTATGAATCATTGCGATATTTCGTAAATGCGAATCCCTCCTCGACTCTCTAGTCACATTTTAAGAATTCCGGCAAAGTACATTAAAGTATAAATTTTTTTTAAGTTTTACGTATTTTTTATGTTTTTGTTATTATACTTATCTTTTTTTTCATTGTGCAATAGTTTTGTGCACATTTGGCTTTATTATTCTGTAAGCAACTTTTCCTGTTACATTATTTTACCACATTATTTAGGAGATTATCATAGAAAAGATTAGGCACAATGAATCATTTTGATATAGTGAACAATGAAACATGGTATATTATAGATCACATAATCTTTTTTACGATAATCTTTAAAATAATAATTCATTGTAGTAATTATTTATAATGCGATCCCTCTGCTCCCTCCTAAAATCTTCATAAAAATATACATTTGACGCGTTTTCACTCAAAACGAAAGAAAAACGCGGTGGTCAGCCTTGTGAATCCTTACCACTTTATAATTTATTTTATAAATAAACATTTTAAAATATAGCTAAAACGAAAATAATCCTAACAATTCGCAACAAAACATGTAGTATTAAAAATAACATGGTTCATTGTATAACACCCCCTTGTACACGATGAATTATTTCCCATTTTTTTAAATAATCGAGATTGTGACTAAACTTCAGGAATAACTTAAAAGTTATTATTTACAGTATATAGTCAACTAAATTCACACACACACACACACACACACACACACACACACACACGCGCGCGCGCGTCTTTCGGAGATCCGTTGGATATATTATTTCAGAGCGAATATTGTATCATTCTCTAAACTAAATCCTAATAAATTTAATTATACTATAATAATATTTATACATGTACAATCTTTTATCTACCATTTTATATGTTCAAATAATAAAATTTTATTTATACATTTTATGTATTAATTGTAAACTTATAATATGTAGAGTTTTCAAAAATGTCGATTTTTGATAGTTCAAATAATTATACTTTTTTGAGCGATTTATATTGTACTATTTTTTTTTGTTAGTCCAAAGAGTCAACTAAAAATATAGGTTTTTGCTTGAACATTAAATTTGAGAATTTTATATCCAAAGTGATCATTTTTTGCGAATTTTTCCAATAAAATTTCTTTGAAGCATTGTAATTAATTAAAAATAAAATATTATTTATTATAATTCATATCTGTCTCTGTCTTTGTCTAACTTTGAGATATAAATTTCACGTTTTGAGCTAAAAAATATGTATTGTATTACTTAATAACAGCTGCTCAAGCGTTGTCGTGATTGATCTCCTATCTCCCGCCCGTCGATGTACATTAATAATTTGAATTTATAATTTGTTTTTATATTGTTCATCACTATAATATAATAATTTAATTTATGTTTGATACTGACTATATTTCACTATATATCTATTATATAGCACTATATATATCTATTAATATTGATATGTATTATATTAGGTGTTGGAATTAATTCGTAGCGTTTTACAAGTGATGGGAAGTACTTTCATTAATGTATTTTTTAATGCTCATGTGAAATAAATAACATTCTTTCATTAAAAAACGCTACGAATTAATTCCAACACTTAATATATTATATAATACATTATATATAATAATATTATTATATGTTTACTATATCGAGTATATTCAAATTTCACTTTAATATTACGATTTAATAAATAAAACAAAAAATTAATATACTTTGTATCTGTTTGAAATTTTCATTATTTTTGTTTTTTGCGCAAATACGTAAAATAAATATTTTTACAACTTATATTTTTTTCTGTTACGAACTTTTTTATATACTGACAAACTTTATATTCTCAACCCTGTAAAAATATCGCGTAGGGGTATGTTCGAATTCTCATCTGCTCACCGGATGTCATGTCATCCGAGGAGCATACAAGTGAGAATAAGAACACGACTCAGAATATATAGTCTAAGTAAATCGAAAGACAATTGCCTCTTATAAATATTTAATTGTAAAATGAGTAAAAAATGCAATGCGCGTAAGAATTATCTTTCGAAATAATAGTCATTTTGAGCGTATATTTAATCAGAATCTTCTGATTTTTTGCTACAGTGTTGATCATCGTAACTGCAGTGTGATTGAAAAACATTTGTTACACATCGGATCGGTGATGAAATTATTAAAATATTTACATCTCAAATTGGATTTGTTTAATTTTTTTATAAATATTATTTAGAATTCGTATTAATTAATTTTTTTTTCAAATATCATTTAGAAATCTTATTCTGATAAAACTGTTGCATTATAGTAAATCATTTTAGCGCAATTGCGAAATTTTTTGTCAGTTCATACTGCTATTTTGGAATTTTATCACAATTTGTCTATTGGTGAAACAAAGACTAAACAAAGGTAATGATGACTTGCATACATATTGTTTACTGTGCGATTTTTTTTTGCTCTGTGACGTTAATTAATTTTCTACATATGCACATCGTACATGTTATCGTCTTATCATTGCTCTATAGATTTAGCATTGATTGAAGAATAAATCTGCATGAGTTGAATGTTGATCTAGTTAAGAATAACCTCAGTTGCTCAAGACTCTAATGTAAATACCATGCACGTGTTGAATGAATGGATGATATTAACGTCAGATATAAAGCCTGTAAATTCTGTTCTGCGTGTATCATTTTGAAGCTGACTTACGGAACGGAACAGTGAAGTAATTTAAGAGAAATAAAGACTGAAGACGAATAATTTTAGGTTAGTTCTTTTAGTGTATTGCTTTTTGTCAATTACTTTAGAATCGTTTTTTATTTCTGCGTTAGACTGCAGCACTAAAACTTTTTTTCTTACTTTCATGAAATATCAAATATATAAAGGATAGTTGATACAAAAGACATGTTTGATTTAAAATTGTTGGAAAAATGTTTTTAAACAAAAGTTGTACGATTTCAAGAGAACGTTAAAGTTATAAAGAAAAAAATATTTTTATATTTTTTTTTGTTTAATAAAATACCCTCACCACCCATAATTTTCTTAAATTAAAAATTTTTTTTTATCAAATTAAAGATTATTTTTTTACAAATTCAATCAAGATGAAGTTACATTACGACACATTATTTTCGAGAAATAATTATTAACGCTTCCATGATTATGTACACTATCCATGCTCATATGCGTAAGTAATTGTCGTCGGAAGAATAAAATATATAAATTAACAAATAAGGAAATTAACATGATTGATATTTGTTACAAATTATAAATAATGTTAAGAGTTATAATAATTTTTATTATTTCTCCTTAAAGTGAATAAAACTTTTTTATTCATCTCTGTACTTATAATATCTTAAGAATATTTCCTTAAAGTTATTTTCAGTGCTTTTTATGCTTTAATATCTTATTTACTTGACATTAAAAATTACGTAAATGACAAAATGTGCATGACACTTTATTAAAGGAACATAATGCCAATGAGAGTTGATACAGTTGTGTGTGTAATTAAATATAATATTATACTTGTATGTCAATTACCAATTAGACGCTTCAACTATAAGATTAAGTGCTTGTGTTATTTGCGATATATTTTGAAATTTGAATCTGTAATGCTAATTCTACAATGAATCTGTAGTCGGAAGTCTAACAATAAGTCATAATTGATGAAATTGATGACCAATCAGCGTTAATTATATAAGTTGGCTACTGGTCAGCTTTACCGATAAAACTATCGACTCATTTACCGAATCAGCGTAATAATTGATTCTATTAATTGTATTAAGTGTAACAACTAATCCTGGACTCACCTGATTGTTACAAGTGTCACTTTATATTTTTCATTAATAAACAAAAAAGATAATCAAACTATTAAATTATAAAAATATATAATTTCTGTATTGTTTAAGCATGTAGCTACTGAAAAATTTTCTTGTGGTTTATAAATATTAAAAATTTATTTTAGTAACATCCAGCGTTGCATTTCAACTCCTAATACATTTTAATTGAATGTTTTTACATACTAAAGCTGCTGCAATTAATTCTTTAAGTTAAATTGTTTTTGTATTTTGTAACACGGCGAAAAGGATATGATTTTTCGAGAAATTTCTCTAATTCCAATTTCACTTTCAGAAATGGCCTTAGAAACATCGACATTGCTAAATTTAAGTTTCGTGGAGAAAATCCTGCGAAAATCAGAAAACGACAATTCGATTCAGGTGATGGATATATTTTTGAAATCGGCCACAGATAAAGGTGACAATTACACTAGCGACATGATTAGGATTACTGCTGAATATTCACGCGGTTTTAAGATTAAAGAGAAAAAATCAATTATTATCAAAATCTTTCCTATACATGGTATTATACGACAGAAAATCGTAAGTTAATTTAATGTGTACAATGTTTCTAATAAACGAGAAGTTATTTTAATATGTTGTTAATATTAAAAGAGAGGGGAGGAGAGAGAGAGACAGAGAGAGAGAGAGAGAGAGAGAGAGAGAGAGGAAGAAGGAAGGGACGGAGAGAGGGAGGGCGGAGAAAGGGAGGGAGGGAGGAAGGGAAGAGATAAAATTGAAACAAATTTTATCATTTCGAGATATATTTCTATTCAGAAAGATTGGAACAATTTTTGGATAATCAGTGATTAAAAATGAAATCATCTTCATAAATCAAGTTTATATAAAGAAATGTATTGTATTTAAAGAAGATATTCTTTATTTGTTTCAAAATAAATCTCAAAACTTTCTATTACTCAAATTTTATATATAAATCTTTACATAGATCTTTATAAATAATTGCATGCTTGTTAGATTAAAGAATTCCGTTTGATTACTACAAACAAATTTGTCGCAGGTCTCACAAGCAGGTTTTTTTCATATCGAAACATCGATGATGTCAGATACTTTAGATAAAATGAATAAGTTGTTAGAACCGAAACATCGCTTGAGCGCGAAGATTCTCCACATGCAAAATGAAAATCCATTACTTTTGGCAATCGAAGATCTTGCGCCTCTCGGTTTTCGAATGGTTGATCGTTCGTCTGGTCTCGACTTAGATCATTCTCTATTGGCATTTCGCGGACTTGCCAGATTTCATGCAGCCTCCGTAGCCTTATGTGAGATGGTAAATCATCATGCTTTATTCATAATCAGTTACAACATTTTATTGCAATTATAAAGAATTTGAATCAATGGAATGAATGCAATGATCATTCAAAATTCAAATTTACGCCTTAATATTATATATAAAAAGCTTTTAATCCTTAAGTAAGCGCACGAACAAAATCACACAAATAGATGCATGGAGTCAGAAATGATTCCAACTTCTTTTTTTTTTTAATTTAAGTAAACCAAGAGAGATATTGCAAAATAAAAATAAATTAGTTAGTTTGATAAAATCATCATTTATTTATCGATTGATAATCAACTTTTACAAGAAATAAATCAATTCTCTTAAGGTTATTAAGAAAGATAGATATCTTACATATATTCAAATTACTTAAGTGATTCTGATTCCATGCGCCTATTTAAAGGAAAGCTGGAGTAACTCAATTTTCAATATTGCAGTTTAATAAAAATCTTTGAATTGACTAAATGGAATAAAAAATTCTTTTATAGGATTAACGTAAAATCCTGATGTGGTGAGTGGATGTTATACTAAAATCGAAAAAAAAGTAAAAAACTTTTTTAACTCTGTTTTTATTTTAGTATAAAATTCACTGCACTACATCAGGATTCTGCGTTTACTTTAATTCTGTAAAAGGATATTTTATTTCATTGCAATGTCAATAATTGGATCACTCCAGCATTCCTTTAAAGATTATATTAAATATGTTTATATAATTGTAAATAGTAATCTTTATATATGTGAAATTTTTTTCAAGGGAAAATGTACAATCCAAATAATAATTTCAAATTTGATAATACCAACATTTTTAAATATTATACAATATTTATTTTGAAATAACTTAAATTTGACAGAAACAAATATCTGTAAATAGTGCCAGAAATAAAATATATATTTTTAAAACTTAATTTAGCTTATTGATCTTTATAGTAATCTGAATTTCTTGTTCCCACTACAAATCTATATAATTATTCAACTTTATAATCAAATGGATAAATACATTGAAACATTATATCCTTTAATAAAAATATTCTATTACTTAGGATCCGAAACAAAAAGAGATATATTCAAAAGGAATGTTTCATAATCAGCATCCGCCAGAAATGAAATCTTTCTTTATTAGGGGTACTAAAGGTTTAGCAGATGAGGTTGCAAACTGGCCAGAAGCGGAAAAGTAAGAATTGCATTTATGACAATATGTATTGTTTTACTTTTTAATTAATGTTTATGATATTCTATGATACATGACACTAAATAAGTATTTAATATGAAGATCATGTTAAAAAGAAAATTGCAAATATAAATACAAATTGCATTGTTTAGTGCAAATATTTATATTACATAAGTTTTTTTTAAATATAATTTTACTTTTATTTAGTTTTTATTCTATGTTTTTATTCTATATACTCTAGATACTCAGAAAAAATTGCTAAACTTTCCGATCACATGTACCAAATAGGAACAGATGCACAGAAGCTCTGTGATGACGAATTTAATGTTATTACTCATGGTGATTGTTCCGTGATCAATATGTTATTCAAATATGACAATAATGGCAAACCTACTGAACAGATTTTTGTAAGTACCATTTCGTTATAAAAAAATCATGTATTTCTTCTAAATAAGAATGTTCATTAATTTATTATAATCACATCTTCATATTATAACTTAAGACTAAACGAAACTCGTGAAATTTTTAGTTTATAATTGCATGGGGGGGGGGGTGCAATCATTTATATTGCTGAAACAATTTATACTTTAAAAATACATCTTATATACTTAAACAAATGTAAATTTTATCATAAATAATTTAATAGTTTAAGCATTTTATTCCAATTATTCACATTTCTGAATTTTTATCATAATTTTCATAATTAAATATAATGATATAAATTTTAAATAACGATAAATTAAATAAATAAGTAATGTTCTGAAAAACATTGTTACGGTATTATTGTATTAGCATAATTTAATTATCTGCAATTTTAGCTGGAGCAATTAAAACAAATAGAAGGTACCGGTATAAGATGTTTGGAAAATGGAATGTTTTGAATAAGTGCATTGTATTCAGTATAATCATGTAGGCATATTCGTATGCCGATGTTATCCATTTCTGAGCTATAAACGTTGTTGTGATTTGCTAAATACGATGCTTCACTTTTTTTTCCTTTGTGTGTGTGTGTGTGTGTGTGTGTGTGTGTGTGTGTGTGTGTGTTTGTATGTGTGTGCACAGATTTTATCTCTAATACGATTGACTTAAAAAATTCATAGATCGAAAATATTTATTTAATATTGCAGGTAGACTTTCAAATGTGTATCTACGCGTCAGCGGCACTCGATCTTCTCTATTTGTTCAATTCAAGTATTTCCATTGATGTTATTGAACATAAGACAGATATTTTATTAAACGAATATCTTAACACCTTGTCAACGATTATGAAACAATTGAATTGCAAAACACAGCCGCCCACCATGAAGGAACTGAAGGCTTCCCTTCAACGAAAAGCTAGCTATGGAATGATGGCATCCTTCAACATTTTACCACTTATGCTGTGCAGTAAAACTGAAGCGAAAGGTTGGGATGAAATATTGGGCACTGATACTTATACGAATCCAGGTTTAAAGAGTGAGAGTTATAAAAAAATATTATTAAAAAGACTGCCACTATACGACGAGTGGGGTTTGCTGGATCTTTAATGTACTTCACATTTAGTGACAGAAAGTTAAAGTAGAAAAAAATAGAAGTTTAGGAAATCGGGTATTTGATGTAAATAGTTAATAAATACATTAAAATTAATAATAATAGACGGAGGATGTTTTAATTTGTAATAAATGTTGATGTCTATTTTCAAAAAAGTTTTCTTTTCAATAAATAAACGTAGAATTGAGTAATGACATTTATTTTTGATGCAAAAAAGCAATTATATTTTTTGACGATTTTATTTTTGATTCATTAAGATTTTAAAATAAATTGTGATTTTTTAAATATTTTATCAATTTGTCATAGATAACGGTATATGTATATATATATATATATATGTACATACATATTTTGTTTTGTTATGTAGATATTGTCTAATTCAACATATGTTAACAAAGAAAATGACGTTATCAAAGAGATGTAAAATATTACCTTTTACCCCTACAATACCAAAAATTGTGATATAAATTGTGATATAAATTAATTCGAACTGAAGTATTTAAATTGTATTAACATAGAATGTGAGAAATAAGAAAAATTGAAAAAAGTTACAAACGTAATAAGTAATAAAATAATCGGAGCATATGATGTACGTAAATTTGAAATTTTATTCTAATTTTTTGCTAAATCCAAAATTGTAAATTGTTGGTCAATAATTTAATAAAAGAATATCGTAAATTTACAACTGGTCCTTTATTGTTAGCTATATATGTTATATAATGGTTTTCTAATTGTCCCTGCGTCGCCTGATAAAAAATATATTATTTGTATAATAAAGTCGTACTATATCACTGAAAAAATTGTATTCTTGAAAGATGTACTTAATATTTCATCTCTTAACAGATATAAAAATATTTCCTCTTAAATTAATAATATATTCTTGATTTGCGAAGACAATCGTCATACATGCGCGCTTCACGTGCTTTTTGATGATGTCCTCCTTAAAAATCAATCTTTGTCTGAAACATTTTTCTCTAAAATGTATTGTTCAAAAGATATTTGAGATCGTCGTTTAAATAGCATCTTGTATGTTTTTATATTAAGAATATGATAATTTAGATAATTTCCTTCTTAAATTAAGAGAATCGTTTTGGCGCTTATTTTAAAGGAAAACTATATTATAAATGGGATATTCTTAAGTTAAGAATACAATTTTTTCAGTGATATCTTGCAAAGAAATGTATTCATTTTGAACTTTGAATATGTTGTTTTATAAACAAAAAAATCGTTTAGAAATTTTATGTTGACAAAACTGTCGCGTTATATATGATGAATCATCTTAGTGTAACTACAATTTTTCATTAGTTTGTGGCCATCATTCTGGAATTTTATAATTTATCGGGAAAAATAGAAACTAATCGTAGATAATGATGACTTGCACGGATGTCGTAACTCGATAACGTTTACTGTGCGATTTTTTTAATGGTGCGACGACGTCAATTTATTTTCTACTGCACCGGAAAATATCGCACGTGCTATCGTCTTATCGTTGCTCTATTATAGATTATTATAAAAACTTTAAGAACACAAATCCGCTTTAAATCATAAGTTCTCTGCGTTAGAAACAAATTCGCCATTATAAAAACAAAAATTATATGAAAAAATAATTTGTGTTTTTAAAATTTGTTTTTAAAGCTAAGAATTTGTGTAATAAAAGCAGAGAATATTTATTTTTAGAAATTAATTAATGCTGAACAAGTGATCACAGTGCATACTTATGACGCATATTCAGTATATATGGCTGTGACAGATTTTCTAACCTGAATAGTCGTCATAAGCAGCTTTAACAATTCATAGGTCGACGTTTTTTCTTGTCAAACCTTTATTTTTATGCAAAAATACATCAATTGTGAGTATATTTTTATCAAAATTTAAGTAACTAAATATTCTTAACATTTAAATCGAAATAAAGCCTGTGATGAATGAATAAATGTGTGTGAATGTACCGATATATATTAGTTATAAAGCCTATTCTGTTATAAAACTTAAATTCTGTTCTATGTTATCATTTCGAAGTTGGCATTACGAAACGGCATAGTAAGAGAAATAAACGACTGAAGTCGATAACGAATAATTTCAGGTTAGTCACTTTAGCGTATTACTTATTATCAATATATACTTTAAATCTGTTTTTTATACCTGCATTAGAGCGTATTTCATCCACAAGAAATAGTCCTTTTTTTTCTCTTGACATTGATATTCAGTCGGGGTTTATTGAGAAAAATTTTAAATAAAGTTCTAAACATCGTGAATTCTTTGATATACATCGAAACATTATAATGAATTCTTTGATATACATTGCATTTCGAAAATATGAGATCCTGAAAAAAAAATTTAAATTATATTGCGTAACTCGCGAACATCACAAACAATTGTAGTGCTTATTGCACACTGGACGCGATGAGCGATGAGCGATACTTAATGAGAATTCTGCTATTCATCGTCACGTGCAAAAAGGCGGAGTTTTCAAAGGTGGATATAGCTCGTCGCTCATCACATCCAGTATGTAGGAGGCATAACATGCAATAAACATTAATTAAAAGTAACATAATATCAATAAATAATGATTATAATTTTACATTAACAATATAACTGTTATGTAACTTATGTTATAAGTATTATAATTGTATTATGTTGTATTTAAATTGTAAAATGTAAAATTATAATATTGAAATTATGTTATTTTTAGTTTGTGTTTACCGAAAAGTTCTTAAAAATTTATTTAGAATAATTTTACTTAGGATAGCATTTTTATAGACAACTTTAGAGCCATATATATAAATAATTTTTTATAAATAATTTTTTTTTTATATATATAAATAATTTTTTAAGTAATCTTACATTTTAACATATAATATTTAAAAAATTAAATATCTAATACAAAGTTCGAGTGTAAATAACGACTATTTTTGTGTATCTCTTAAATCAAAAAAACATTAAAATTTAAATATTGAAAAGTGTTTACACACTGCAAAAGTTTAGTTGTTAACTAGATTAAGTGCGTTTATTATAATTGGTAGTGATTATCTAGTTTAAATTTATATACTTAAATTAAAATGGATATGTGGCATATCATCAAAATCTTATAATTTAGAACATGTTATTTGTTTGAATTAATAAATATTGGCTTAATACAGCTCGTGATCATTGCATATAAGTTGAATTGTAATATTTTTTTTTTAAATAGCGACTTTTTTCTCAGAGGGAGAGTTTAAATATAATATTATTTTTCAATTTTTCAAATATAATTTAAGGATTTTATATATTTTAAAATTTATAGTATATTTGTATATTTAAAAATATTTAATAAATATTAATTCATATTTGAAAAATTAAATTAATATGTAAAAAATGATCTAAGAAGCTTTATACTCGGAACAAACATCCACACAAAGTATAATAGTTTATTCAAAAAATAATAATGACAAAGATTGAATAGTAACTTCAATTAACCATATACATTTTTAGTATAATCATTGAATACAATAAATTATAACTAATACACTAATAGAATAGGAAAACCCATATAAAACTCTTGAATGTAGACAAGAAATACAGTTAAATACTACAAAATTTGATATGTATATCTATTTATCTATAGCTCAAGAATCAAAAGATCAAAAGAGTGGAGGAAGCCAGAAGAAGAGAAAGAAAATGTAATAAATTTTATCTTTATTAAGTTACTGCAAAGAATTGTTTTTCTAACATGGTGAGAAGGACATGATTTTTTGAGAAAATTCTCCATTTCCAATTCCTTTCAGAAATGGCCGTAAAAACACCGACATGGTTAAACCTATGCTTTGTGGAGAAGATTCTGCGAAAGTCGGAAATGACAATTCGATTCAGGTGATCGATATATTTTCGAAACTGGCCACGATGAAGGGTGACAACAACACTAGCGATATGATTAGGATTACTGTCGAATTTTCGCGCGGTTCTAAGATTAAAGAGAAAAAATCAATTATTATCAAACTTTCGCGTGAAGGTGTTCAACAGAAAATGATAAGATAATTTAATATGTACAAGATTTTTAATAAAGAAAGGAGGAGAAGTTAATTTAATATATTCAATGTTTCTATCAAAAGAAAAAAGAAGATAAAAAAAAAGAAAGAGAAAAGAAGGAGAAGAGGGGAGAGAGAGAGAAAATTGTGACAAATTTTATTATTTCGCAGTACATTTCTTTTCAAGAAATATTAGGATAATTATTTTTGGGTAATGAATGTTTAAAATAAAATTTTTATAAATTACTTATAAGAAAGCGAATGTATATGCATTACTTTGTATTTAAAGAAAACATTCTTCATATTTTCAAATCTTCAAACATTCTACATACAAATTTTATGTAGATCTTACATAAGCCATTATAATACAAATAACATATTAGATTATAATTAATTTATTAGATTAAAGAATTCCACTTGTTAATCTTAAATAAATTTGGTATAGGACACACAAGCAGGTCTCTTTCACATCGAAATGTTGATGATGTCAGATACTTTGGATAAAATGAATAAGTTGTTAGGATCAAAGCATCGCTTGAGCGGGAAGATTCTTCACATGCAAAATGAAAATCCAATGCTTCTAGTGATCGAAGATCTTGCGTCTCTCGATTTTCGAATGGCCGATCGTATGTATGGTCTTGATTTAAATCATTCCATACTGGCACTTCGCGGAATTGCCAAGTTTCATGCTGCCTCCGTAGCCCTTTGTGAGAAGGTAAATCACCATGTATGACACACAATCAGTCATAATAATTATTCTCGTCATAATTATTAAGAATTCGGATCAATGATACGAATGCAAGAACCATTCAGAGTTCAAATTTTCGTGTTGATATTAAACATAAAAGACTCTTAATATTAAATATAAGAATTTTATGTGGAATTAACGGAACATTATTTTGATTACATTTTATGAACACTGCATTGCAAAAAATTTGTAAAATTATAGAATCAACGCATCTTATATAATCCTACAGAGAAATAATTTATAATTGTAATATTAAACACAAGAATCCCATTTTGAATACTGTATTAAACTTAAAATGTTGCGCTTTTTATTGTATAAGATTTTTTTATTTACGAGAAAGACTTCGTTGCATTCATTTAGCGATAATATCGCTCGCGAGTAAACAGTTTTATTGCTAAAAGTGTGTTATAAATACATTTTTTAATGTGTTTGACTTCTGAAAGCCTTACATATCTCAAAAAAAACATCTTTAAGGTCAGAGTCGCTGTAGTGAATAAGGCGTAATTATGCAAAGAAAATTTCATCGCCTAATTCCTATAATGCATTTTTATTTAACAATCTTTTAAAATCAAATACTTTTTAATACAAGTTTTAAATATTTTTACAGAGGATGCAGTTTTTCAATTTGTGTTTCTGATGTTGCTCGGAATATTATAGTTTTGAACGTACTGAAAGATTTTATTATAGTATCTCTGGGAAATAAATAAAAAAAAAAACTATCTGATCCGATTAATAATTTCAAATTCTGTAATACGGATTCTTTTAATTAATATACAGTATTCGTTTCAAAACAAATTAAATTTGACACAAATAAATATCCATAAATGGTACTCTCTTGTTAATGTACCTTTGCGCATTGCAGTGCACTACTTGCCACATCTGCTCAGAAGCTCTTCTTAAAACCATTTTTTGGTAAAATTTTAAAAATATTTAGGCTGACTCGTATCTTTCTCCGAAAAAAGATGTGCTCTAAATTTGCAAAGAAATTATATTATATATAAAATTACTACGGAGATTTCTTGTGTAGCTTGATCTGTACGATATTCCAAATTTCCTACTCGTATTACAACAAATCTAATTATTAGGGATACACCGGATATGCAGAAAGTATTGCTGGATATCTGATTCCTGGAAATATATCGAATCAAAACTTTATATTGAAACAAGATGGATAACGAATATCTGAAAACTTTATTATTACTGATATATTTTTTAAATTTTTTATTTGGTAAATGTCCGAAATTTGGGGCCGAATATTTGTCATATATTCGGTACTAAAATATCTAAAAATTATATTAGTGATAAAAAAAAGTATCCGTATTATATACATATTATTACATTATATACATATACGTCATTTCAATATAAAGTTTCTGCCGGATATATTGCTAGAAATCAAATTCTTCCCGCAATTCTTCCTGTATATTGGATGCAACTTTACTAATTATATTACTCCAAAATAAATGGATAAACATATCAAAATATTTTCTAATAAAAATATTTTAATATTCAGGAACCAAAGCAAAAAGAGATGTGTTCGAAAGGAATATTTAATGATCAGCTTCCATCAGAAATAAAAGATGTTTTTATTAAGAGTACTAAAGATTTAGCAAATGAGATTGTCAACTGGCCAGAAGTGAAAAAGTAAGATTTACATAAACAATAATATTTATTGCTTTACTTTTTAATATTCAAGATATTTTATTATGACATATAAGATAATAATAATTTAATATGAAGAAACAGAACATATTAAGGAGAAAATACAAATATAAGTGGATACAAATTATAGTTTAAAGTAAATATTCGTATTATTTTTATATGCTTTCATATGATTTTACATTAGTTTAACTTTTATTGCTAGATACTCGGAAAAAATTGTTAAACTCGCCGATCATATCAAATAGGATTGAATGCAACCAAGCTTGTGAAGACGAATTTAATGTTATTAATCATGGTGATTGTCATGCCAACAATTTGTTATTTAAATATGACAACAATGGCAAACCCATTGATCAGATTTTTGTAAGTACCATCACAGCATAAGAAATCGTGTACTTCTTCTGAACGTGGATGCTCATTGATTTGTTATAGTTATGACTTTATTTTGCGATTAAGAACTAAGATTAAACAAAACCATTCGTGAAATTTTTAGCACATTATACTTTTGTGTGATACGACTATATTGCTGCAACTTCGAATTTACTTTAAAAATATATTTTTTATACTTACAATTAGACAAATGTGAATTTTATTATAAACACAATTCAACATAGCTTAGTCACTTTATTCCAATTACCTACAATTCTGAGTTTTTATTATTAAGTGTTTTATTATTAAGTGTTTACACACAATTTTTATAATTAAGTGCAATGATATACATTTGCATAAGGATAAATTAAATTAATAAATGCACTATTATAGTAAATGTTAGCACAATTTAATCGTCTACAATTTCAGCTTGATTAATCAAGATAAACAGATAATGATAATATATGAGATGCTTGAAAATAGAATGTACCTAACCAGTTTAATTGCGTATGCAGACATATTCGTTTGCCCATGTCATCTATGTAAACTACTGTCTTTGTCTTCGCGACTTCCTGAACATGATGTTTCATTTCTTTTCTGATGCACGGATTTTATCTCCAACACAATTGTCGTAGACATAAAAGAGTGACATTCAAAAAAATTTACTTTACTGCAGGTAGATTTTCAAATATGCGTCTACGCATCGCCGGCACTTGATCTTCTCTATTTTTTCAATTCAAGTCTTTCTTTCGATGTCATTGAAAATAACGATATTTTATTAAATGAATACCTTGGCACTCAATAATTATGAAGCAATTAAACTGCAAAACGCAACCGCCCACCATGAAGGAACTGAAGGATATTTTAAAACGAAGAGCTAGCTATGGAATGATAATATTCTTTACCATTTTACCGTTTATGCTGTGCTGTAGGACTGAGGCGAATGAATTATTGAGCACTGGTATAAATTCAGGTTTCAAGAGCGAGAGTTATAAAAAGTTAATGATAAAAAGACTGCAACTTTATGACGATTGGGGTTTACTGGATCTCTAATGTTTACTTCACATTTAGTGGTAGAAAATCAAAATGGAAAATAAATAAAAATAAATAGTTACAGCTAGAGCTGCCATTCGTCCGGATTTCCGCGGAATTATCCTATAAAGTCATTTAGGAGCGTCCGTATGGATTTTTTTAAGCAAGATTTTTATAATTTTTATTAGATATATCTATTCATGTTGCACAAAATTCCTAAAAATTTTTGTATTGAAAATGAGATAAATTTATATTTGAGCGTGAAAAGAGAGAAAACGAAGATGCTGAGTGCAAAAAGTGCAAGTAACGCAAATTCAACCTATTGCACTGTATTATTTAATAACAGCTGCTTATCTACTGATCTTCTATCTGTGGCCGCCTTGCGCCTATCGATACACATTGATAATTTAAGTTTATAATTTGTTTTTTTATTATTCACTATGATGTAATAATTTACTATAGTTGTGTGACTATATTTAAAAAAAATATATATATATATGTATATATTACTTATATATTAATATTGTTATGTATTATACATTATATATTAACTTTTATTTGTTATATATTAATATTATTATATGTATATTATATCGATTATAATCCAGTTTCACTTTAATATTGTGATTTAATAAATACAAAATTAATAAATATACTTTGTAACTGTTCGAAATTTTCATTATTTGTGTTTTTTGTGCAAATATGTGAATTAAATATTTTAACAACATACACATCTTTTTCTCTTACGTACTTTTTTTTACTAGTAAACTCTATATTCTCAAAAATATCACAAGAGCCTTCAGATTTCCACCTGAGTACTCCCCGGTTATGTCATCGTTGTTGTTTATCAAACGTTAAATAAGAATGACATGATATTTGAAAAGCACCGAGGTAGAAATCAGAACACGTCTTAGAATGTATATTCTACATAAATCAAAAGTCTCTAGTAATAATTGTATAATGAATAAAAAATTGAATGCGTGAATAAAAATTATTTTCTAACATGTCAATTATTTCAAACGTATATTTAATTAGAATCTTACATAATTTTGTATATAGTATTGATCATTCTAATTGCGTTGCTGAAAAACTTCGTTGTACATCGGATGGATGATAAAAGTAAATTATTAAAATATTTACATATCGAATTGAATTTGTTTAATTTTTTACAAATATCATTTAGAATCGCTGTTTAGTTTTTTTTTTACAAATATCGTTTAGAAATTTTATTCTGACAAAACTATTGCATTAAAGCGAATCATCATATCGTAATTGCGAAATTTTTTGTCAGTTTACGCTGCTATTATAATAAAATTTTTTCATAATTTCTCTATCGATAAAGACTAAACAGAGGTAATGATATGATTTGCACGAATGTCGTAAACGACATTACTGTGCGACGATTTTTTTTATAGTGTTAATTATTTTTGGACAAAAAGTATCAGAAAAAGTACAGAGTGCTCGTCTTATCATTGTTTCATTTCCGTTAATGTTTATTGTCTGATTGAAGGATAAATCTACATGTGTATAATATTTACCAAGCTTCTACAGTTATCTAAAACTCTGTGGGTACAAAGCCTATGATGAATGAATAAATGAATGTACCGATGTATATAAAGCCTGTCACTTCTGTTCTGTACGTATCATTTTGTGGCTGGCTTTACGAAACGGCACAGTGAAATATAATAAGCATTTAAAAAAATATAGGACTGAATTCAAAGACGAATAACTTCAGGTTAGTCACTTTAGTGTATTGTTTATTATCAATACTTTATATGTCTGCTTTTTATTTCTTCATTAGATTTAGACTATAGAACTTTTTTTCGAACTTCCGTGAAATACCAAATATATATATCTATTTCACTTTAAGTTCTAGTAAAAGTATAGTTCAGCTGTGTGCAGAAAGCAGATCATTTTTCTTTTAATACTGATATTTAGTCGGAGTTTATTAAGGAATATTTTAAGTGAAATCTCAAATATTTCCTCAAACATCAATTCTTTGATATACAAATGGATGTTTTACAACCATCGTACAATACTTTTAAAGTGTGAAATAGAAGTGTACAATACTTTAAAAAGTAAAGCAAAAAATCTTAATATGAAAATGTCGAAGCTACAAGTTTTTGAATTCGATAATTGATCGAAGATAGTTAGTAATTCAAAAACTATTATAGCCTTGACATTTTTGTATTAGGATTTTTGTCTTAGGATGTTACAAAGAATTCAAAAATAATGATAAAGACAATAAAAGTAAAATAGTTTCTGACATATAAGTATTTAAAGTTAGCTTGTAATTCAAAAAATTATTGTAACGTCGATATTTTTGTAGTAGGATTTTTACTTTACTTTATTTATAGAGTACCGTGTAAAAGTATTGTACGGTGATTGTGAGACTGTGTATATTGCATCAAAAAATATGAGATAAATAATGCATAATGATATGTGTATGAAAAATATATGAATATAAAATTTTAATGTATTCTATGACACATAACACTCAATGTGACAACTAAATTTGCAGATGGAAACCATAAAGAAATATATAAAGAATTGAAAATATTGATTCATATCTATCACCAATATCTATCACCATCTCTGATATAGTCTTCTTCCGACCAATATTTACATCACTTAAATGTATAACGAATCCAATATCCGAAACAACTCTTCTCCTGACTCGCCCTTAATTCTTTCATCTGTACATTGGATCAATAACACGTTTTTAAATCCTTTTTTATTGTAAATTTCAATTTAAGAAATAAAAAATGTTCTAGACAACATGCACGTCTAAAAGACATGCATGCAGACATTATAAAGATGTCTTCTGGGACATATATGTAAAAAAATATCTAAAAAATATCTAGAAAGCATCATAAAAACATTTTAGATTGCTCGTCAGCATGAATCGTATTCTTAAAAAAAGAAGAGTTTAAATTGCAAATATTATATATTATATGTAACTCAACGTTACGAATAAGTGTAAAACAGCAAACATTAATTAAAAATAAAATAACCTCAACAATAGTTATAATTTTACATTGATATGTAATATACGTGTTATATTATATATATATTTTTTTAAATTAATGTTTATGTAATGAGAAGTTTTTAAACAATTTTATTTAGAATAATTTTACTTAGGATAGTATTTTTAGAAATAACTTTAGAGTCAAATAAATAATTTTCAATAAATAATTTTTTCTTTAAATAATTCTACATATAAAATATTCTGATATAAAATATTATTATTACAAAATGTAATATGTTTTGTATATATTATATACAAAAATCGAATATCTAATAAAATTCAAATGCAAATGACGACTATTCCTATGTATCTCTTAAATTAAAGGTTATAGGATCTTTAATAAATATTAGGTCGGGGAAAAAGTTTCTTCATATTTAAAAAAAATTTTTTGCATACAAAAGTTTTTCATTTGTTGCAAAATTTACGTTACAATTGTATTATTCGCTAGAGCAAAGTTTCAGCTTTAAAAATCTGTTTTTTTTTTAAATTGCGGTATAATGATTTTTATGAATTATGAGCAATCAAAGTTAAAATGCTCTTTTACTAATTCGCGAAGAATTTAGATACAAAAATCATAGGAACATTTTTAAATAATAATTTTGTAGGAAAGTTTCAAGCTTTCACGATAGATAGTCGAAAATTTTCATAAATTTTTTTTTGCACACGTGAGAGATCCCCAAAAAGAAAATTTTTCATCTTTTTCAGCACGTAGTTTTTTAAATGTAAAAATTACCAAACTCACAGAAACTAAAAAAATATAATAACCTTTCGAAAGTAGAGATTTCAAGCTTAAAATCCTTTTTTTAAATTTAAATTTTGTTCATTTTTGACAAAGATATTGTATATACAATTTTAAATTAAAAAATACGAAAAACTTTTTCCTCAACCGAATATATTGTTTCAACTTGTCAATGCAGTAAAAATTGTTGCGTTATTTTAAACTTAACAAGAAGTACAATACTATGTATCTTATATAAGGGAGACACAAAAATTTAAACATTCAAATTATTTATGAGAAAAAATTTGTTAACTTAATTTATGAATGCGGAAGCCGGTTGGAAGAAAAAAAGGAAACGTGAAATTTCGTCGCGAATGACTCAAAAATGGTAAAAAATTATTTTTGCATTTTGTGACACAACAGGAAGAACAATGATTTATCGAGAAAATTCTACAATTCCAATTCCACTTTTAGAAATGGCTCTTGAAACATCGACATGGTTAAACAAATACTTCATGGAGAAGATTCTGCGAAAGTCGGAAAATGATAATTCGATTCAGGTGTTTAACATATTTTCAAAACCGGCCACAGTGAAGGGCGACAATTATCTCAGCGACATGATTAGGATTACTGTCGAATTTTCGCGCAGCTCTATGATTAAAGAGAAAAAATCAATTGTTATCAAAATTTCGCCTGTACTTAAAAGTGTTCGACAGAAACTGGTAATTAATTTAATGTGTATAATGTTTCTAATATAAAGAGGAAAAGAAGTTAATATAACATGTATAATATTTTTAATAAAAAGAGAATAAAGAAAGGGAGAGAGAGAGAGAGAGAGAGAGAGAGAGAGAGAGAGAATTATAATTGTGGCAAATTTTATTATTTTGAAATACATTTTTGTTTAACAGAAAGATTAGAATATTTTTGTGTAATCAGTAATTAAAGTAGGGATTCCTATTTCTTAAGCAAAAAAAGTCGATTCTTTTGAGACTTTCTTTTTAACAAAAGTAAATATGAGACAAAACATTTAAATTCTAAAATGTTGTTTTGTTATACTTAAATGTAAGTTAAAGTAACAATTTTTTTATTAATTTTGATCAAAAATGTCCGCTATCTTTTCTCAAACATATAGTGCCACCTTTGTTATTGGTTTGCAAGATATTTTTCATCTAGATAATCTAAAATGTAAAAATTTGATAGCATTTGATTATATATATATATATAATTATCGTTTGATAAAAAACTATCCGTTATATACGTATTTTTATTTTTATTGTAAAATAAATAAGGCAATTTTTAGAGCAAAATTAATGATTTACATTTGACAAATCGCCATTTTCTTAACCATCAATTCTTTTTTGCTTATTCATCAAATGATAAATATATGTATATATATAAAACTCAAATAGTATACATCAAACTTTTATATTTCAAAATATTTTAGATAATCTGAAGCAAAGATAGCTTGTTAATTAGTGACGGAGGCAGCACCACGTTTGAGGAGAGATAGCAGGCGTAATTTTTAATAAAATTTAATAAAGAAATAACTATAATAATATTTAAATATATTAAAACAATATTCCAAAATTCAAATACTTTACAACAAATACTTTATACTTTTGTTAAAAACATTTCCAATAGGATCAACTTTTTTTGCCCAAGAAATAGAAACCTTCCAAAATAAAATTATTTTTATGAGTCAAGTTTAAAAAAGTGAATATATACATACATATATTTAAAGAAAATGTTTCAAAACAAATCTTAAAACTTTCTACTATCACAAAAATTTTATATGGGTTTTTGTATAAGTTTTTATCACAAATAATTTCATGCTTGTTAGATTAAAGAATTTCACTTTATATTAAATAAACTTTTATCACACACAGATCGTAGAAATGGATGTCTTCCATATCGAAATGTTGATGATGTCAGATACTCTGGATAAAATGAATAAGTTGTTAGAACCAAAGCACCGCTTGAGCGCGAAGATTCTCTACGTGCAAAATGAAAATCCAACGCTTCTGGTGATCGAAGATCTTGCAGCTCTCGGTTTTCGAATGGCTGATCGCTTGTCTGGTCTTGACTTAGATCATTCCATATTGGCGCTTCGTGGTCTTGCCAGGTTTCACGCAGCCTCCGTAGCCTTATGCGAGAAGGTAAATCACCACGCGTATCAATCGCAAAATCTCATTGCATTATTAAGAATTTAGATCAATGAATACAAGAATTATTCTCCTTTAGAATGTCTTTTCAACATTCATATTATCTGGGCTCGAATTTTCTCTAAAAAACGATCAGTTTTAAATTTGACAGAAAATTTTATGATATTACAATTATTGCGTAAATTTTTTGTATATCTAGATCTACATATATGACTGAAAATTTTTTAGTCCGCACTTCAACAAACATAATTATTTATCTTCTTTAATATAAATTCTTTAATATAAATATTTTAATATTTAGGAACCAAAGCAAAAAAAGATGTATTTGAAAGGAATAATTAATGGCCAGCATCCACCAGAAATAAAAGATATTTTCATTAAGAGTACTAAAGCTTTAGCAGACGAGATTGTGAACTGGCCGGAAGTGAAAAAGTAAGATTTGCATTTAATTAAGACAATGTTTATTACTCTACTTTTTAATGTTTAATGATACGTAACACAAGAAAAGTAATATAAAAAGGGAAAATATATTAAAAAGAAAATTGCAAATAAGTACAAGTTGCATTGTTCAAAGCAAATATTTATATTACTTTTACATGCTTTCATATAATTTCAAATTTATTTGATTTTATTAACAGATACTCAGAAAAAATTGCTAAACTCTCCGATCATATATATCAAATAGGAGTGAATGCATTCAAGGTCTGTGAGGACGAATTTAATGTTATTAATCATGGTGATAGTCACGTGAATAATATGTTGTTCAGATATGACAGTAATGGCAAGCCTACTGATCAGATTTTTGTAAGTACCATCAAGTTATAAAAAAATGACATACTATCAAATTATAAAAATGATATACGTCTAAACATGCTCATTGATTTATTATTCACGACTTTATCTTGCGACTAAGATTAAATAAAACTAAGATCAAATAATTTATGAAATTTTTAATTTATTTCTTTACTTTCATATGGTATGACTTATATTGTTAAAAGATTAAATTTACTTTAAAAATTTATTATACTTACAAGTATCTTTTATATTTATAATTAGACAATATATGTGAATTTTATTACAAACAGTTTAACATAGTTCAATCATTACAGTCTAATTATTTATATTTCTGAATGTTTATTATAATTTTCATAATTAAGTATAAAGAGAGAGATATAAATTTGTATAACAATATATTAAATAAATAAATAATGTTTCGAGAAATACTATTACGGTAAGTACATTTTAGCGCAATTTAATCATCCGCAATTCAGTTTAAGCAATCGAGATAAACAGACAGTAATAATATATGAGAACTTGAATATGGAATATATTTTGAATAAATACAATGTACTTACCCAGTTTAATTGCGCATGCAAGCATATTCGTTTGCCCATGGCATCTATGTAAACTACCGTCTTTGTCTTCGCGACTTTCTAAACATGATGTCTCACTTCTTTCCTGATACACAGGAAAGTTTTATCTCCAAACAATTGCTGTAGACATAAAAAATTGACGATCGAAAAATTTATTTTATTGTAGGTAGACTTTCAATTATGCGTCTATGCATCGCCGGCACTCGATCTTCTCTATTTTTGTAATTCAAGTATTTCTTTCGATGTCATTGAAAACAAGAGAGATATTCTATTAAATGAATATCTTAGCACCTTGTCAATGACTATGAAGCAATTGAACTGCAAGACGCAACCGCCCACCATGAAAGAACTAAAAGCTGCTCTAAGACGAAAAGCTAGCTATGGTATGATGACATCTTTTACCGCTTTACAGTTTATGCTATGCCATAAAGCTGAGGCGAAAGATTTGGATGAAATGTTGGGCACTGGTGCTTATATAAATCCAGGTTTAAAGAATGAGAATTATAAAAAAATATTGATAAGAAGACTGCCATTGTATGACGATTGGGGTTTACTGGATCTTTAATGTATACACTTCTATTTAATAATAAAAAATTAAAATAGAAAAGAAATAGAAATCTAAGAAATATTAGATGCAAATAGTTATAACAAGTATATTAAAATTAATAGAAGCAGAATTATGTTAACGTACTTTAAAAAAAAAAACTTTTAAAATATATAGACGAGGAATAGTATTGTTATGATCGACTTATCTTTTGGTAAAAAAAAATTGAAATTATTTATTGTGTGATAATAGTAATTTCATTTTTTATTCTTAAGATTTAAAAATAAATATATAATATATTAGTAATATAATAGTATATATAATTAGTGATAATAATATATATAGTATGTATGATAACAGTATATATACACATACGTACATACATTTTGTTTTGTTATGTAGATACTATCTAATTCAACATGTTAACAAAAAAATACTATTGAAAGAGATGTATATAATATTATTCTATTATATGTAAAAATAATGTACAAATTAATTAAGATATCAAATAAAGTATTTTAGTTATGTATTAACATAAAATGTAAGAAAAATTTAAAAAATATTACAAAATAATAAGTAATAAAATATCCTATATGATATATCCAAGTTTTGTGATTTTTTTATCAAGTCCAAAATTGCAAATTGATTGGTGATTAATTTCAAAAAGAAACATTTCTAAACATCTTATTTTGCTGACTATCAGTTTAATTCATATTCTGATTTTTTATGTGCTATCACTATGTATAACGTACAACTGTAATTGATTATGTTGATTATTAATAGCAAATTTTTAATATTAAGTCAGAGATGCTTGCGGTACGCAAATACACTATTAATGTAAAGTATAGAGATGTCATTCGACGCTGATGATTGGACATTATTAATGTAATTGAATTTTATCTTTAATCAAATAAAAAGTATCTCTATATTTTAAAATTTTGTTAGCTAAATTTTTCTATAAATTACCTGATCACGTTTTTATTAGATTATGTGTGAGTAAAACACACATTAAATAAAAAAAGTTTAATATATAATGATTTCTTTAATATATAATTTTACATTATTTTTAATATATAACGTCATAATTATGTTCCCAGATTGAATATAAAATACATATAAAAGATACATAAAAAATACATATAAAAGATTAAGAATATTTATTAATATCGCATTCAATACAATTTCCACTAACAACGTTTACATCGCTTATACAACGATTGTCTAATGAAGTTCCTCTTTCTGAATTATCCTCGATTGTCTCTTCAATATATTGAATTGATAGCAGATTTTCGAATCCCTTCCTTTTCATTGTAAATTTCACTTTAGAAAATAAAAAAATATTGCAGGTTATATGTATAGTATGTATGTCTAAAAGATGTCATAAAGACAATCACATCATTAAAACGTCTTTTGAGATATAAATCTAAAAGGTATCATAAAAATGTTTTCTATAAGGTATCATAAAGATGTCTTCTTTGTTCATTGTCTGAATGTTAGTCTATTTTAACGTCGGCAGGAATCGCGTTCTTGAGAAAAAAAGAGTTTAAATTATAAACATTATTATGCATACGTAACGTACAAACATTATAAACGAGTATAATACATTAAACATGTATTAGAAATAACACACATTATTAATATTAATAATTTCATAATTTCACAATTTAACAAACTGTAACTGTTATGATACATGAGTTATATAAGTTATAATACATTACATTTACATTGTAAAACATTAAATTAAAAGAATAAAATCCTGGTTGAAATAACATTTTTCGTAATATTTTTTTTTACAGGTTTTAATGCTAAACACTAAATCGAAGATCTAATTTAATTTAGAAGGAATACTACTATTTCAGTTTGATTGTGTTGCAAGTTCGAAAGTAATCAGCGCAGTCATCATATACTTGACTTAAATTTATTAAAAATATTTACTTATAGATGTATTATTTCTACATTTAACTTCAACTGTAATTGATGTTTTTTTTACATACAATTAGTTGATTTATTTTTTTTCTAATATTGAAGCTATATGTTATTTCTTTTAGTTGATATTTACTGGAAAGTTTTTAGCATATTTTCATTTGTTTTATAAACAAATTTAGATACAATAAATACAATAATACAAATAATGTTCTACAAATAATTTCTTTTAAACGATCTTACATATCAATAAAATACAATATTTATAATTTCTAAAATTTGTCGTTTTTTGTTTCGTTTTAATTTAAATTAACAACATATAAAGTTTCAACGTCATCTCATTAAAAATTATAACTGTATTCTAAAAAAGACTCTGCCTGCATTTTCTTAAAAAATAAACGTTGTTCATAAAATATTCTGCAAAAACTATGACGCAATGGATGTGTTCGAGGAAACATGAACTAAATCAGCTGTATCAGCGCCATTACTGTCATAGTATATCCTTGCGTCTAATGGACGATAAAGATAAAATGCCACAAATAGCTCTAATAACGTTACCCGGAATGCAACCATTGTATGTCGGACGAACTAATAGATGCAGTTGAAGACCAGAGTTTCTGAACACACAGCAGAATTTACATCAGGAGAAATACAGCTACTCATTCGGTTGTTACTGAATTATCACAGGTTGTATCATGATCATGATTTTAAAAGGGATCATGTTGAAATTTTAAATGTTGAAATTACAAGAAATGATTGATTTCAGAAATAATTATATAGTAATAATTAAACGGTAAAAGAACATTAATTTAAATTCATACATGGAATTACTTAACTAATAATGTATCATTGTTACTTAAATATTCATTAATTATTTATGTTTTCTAATGATATTTTTTACTCTGATCTTTCGACGATTTATTCTATGACATGTAACGGTCACGTACATAATCTCGGATCTGTCTTATGTATAATGCCCTTTATTTTAAATAGGTGGATCGTGCAAATTCTTTTAATATATTTTTTGTCAAGTACATTCATCTGCATTTTTAAGATCATGCTTTACGCTTAATTTATTCCAATCAATCTTTTTTTACACGATGGATTTAATTTTAAAGACTCCATTTACTTGAGATCACCCAGCCTTCTATTTGTTTATGAGATAGAAGCTTTTCGTTTCGTTTTTTGGAGTGAATAACATGAAAACAGGAGATTACATTAATAGATTATACAACATAATAAATTAACTGACTGCAACAATTTGACTCTACATTTTTATTGAGCTCGTAAAGATTAGAAAGTAACCAACGTACGTGACCTATTATATAATTTTATTATACTAAACTGTTTTTCATTATTTAAATAGTGAGTTAATTATTTACTATAAAAACCTATTTAAAATATTTAACATATGTTTGACTAAATATCAAATATTAGTTTTCAGAAAATCGGTTAAATATAGGTTTTTTATAACGAATAATTAACGCACTAATTACAGGGCCAATTTCCTGTAAATAGTAATCCTAATTTCATTTTTTTATTTGTTACTTACAAAAATATGAGAAGAAAAGAAAGATTGCGATTATGGAATAAGAGGAGAGGTATGAAATATTATCAACTATATAATATATTTTCAGGCCTGTCCAATTTGTGCTCCGGAATCAAAACGCAAATCCATTGACGTAAAAAAATTCAATGTGGGTAAGATTTCGAGGATTTGAAAGTTAATACGCATCTAAATGACGCTTATAAATATTTTATAAATATTATATATTCCTAAAATCTTACTCACATTGAACTTTTTTACGTCGATAGTTTTGCTTCCGAATTTTGGTTCCGAAACTCAAAATAGACAGGCCTGGTAGGAGAGACTGGGAACAGTTGAAACAATTTTTAGAAATATTATATATTTCTTTATTTATAACATATATGCATTTTTTTTAATGCACATGATGCAACAACTATTTAACTTTATGGTATGTGTAATTTTTTAAGCTGTTTATGAGTAAAATATCAAAATTCGAATTAGTACATCTTGTTCCGATTTGGAGTAAAATGAAACAAAAAGAGAAAGTTGTAACATGTTCTAAAAACAAATTATCCGTTCTAAAACAAAAATTTACTGCTTTAAAAACAAATTATCTGTTCTAAAACATAAATTTATTCCTCTAAAAACACAAATTCAGTACTTTAAAAATAAATTATCTGTTCTAAAACAGAAATTATCTCTTTATATTATTTTTCTTTTTAAATCAATAAATAAATTTACTATTAAAAAGCAATGAATTCGTGTTTCAGAACAGATAATTTGTTTTTAAAACAGTGAATTTATGTTTGTAAAGCAGTGAATAATATCTATTGCAATGAGAAATACTTACAACGCATTCACGGCCATGAAAATGTGACTTCAGCGCGTGCTTGCATCGGTATTTCGTGACTGTGACAGATTTCTTAACCTGAATAGTCGTCAACTTAAAATATTTCTGTTAATGAAACAGAGCGATACTTATTTTCTTGTCAAATCTTTATTTTTATGCAAAAACGCGTCGATTGAGTATTTTTATCAAAATTTGAGGTGAGTGGGTTCTTCTTAACATTTATCGTTAATCGTAAAGGTGTTACAATGGCTGCGATCGATTTGGATGCTTTCAATGCTTTTCAGTACTTCTATTTTTATTTTGTGTGTGTGTAATGAATGATAATGATACAAACGCTTAAATCGCGTAAGCGTCCAAATCGACCAAATAATAAACTAATAAACAATAACAATAAATCGAATATTAATTTCATTGATATCAAGATTTATTTTTTAAAATAAAAAATTAATTGCAATCCTCGATACATGATCCCAATGCACCATGCATGTCAAAAATGTTTCGTATATATCATAAATATCATATTCGACGAAGTCTTAATGCATACATTAATAGAACACATGTATGCTGTATCAAAAGAAGAAAAGAAAAATCGGTTTTCCATTAGGCTCTTAATTCAAACAGAATCAATAAAAAACAAATGCAATAAAATACAGCTGTCTTAAATATGGAAAAATATAAACAAAAATACAACAAAATAAATGAAAAAAACACTGAAAAAAATAGTAAAGAAAGATGAAAAGAATAAAAATATCGGAATGAGTTTGTGAAGAGGAAAGAGAAGAAAAAACATAATAAAAATTTCGTGGCGAGTAAATTATTGTCAAAAATCATATTTTTAATGCGATGAAAAAACAATGCTCTGTCGACAATATTCTGCAATTCCACTTTCAGAAATGGCCCTAGAAACGTCGAAGAAATGGCTGAATCAATGCTTCGTGGAGAACATTCTGCGAAAATCGGAAGATGACAATTCGATTCAGGTGACGAATATATTTTCGAAACCAGCCACGAACAAGGGTGACAATTACACCAGCGACATGATCAGAATTACTGCTGAATATTCGCGCGATCAAAACAGCTATAGAATTAAAGAGAGAAAATCAATTATCCTTAAAATCTTACCTGAACTCGGAAGTGTCCGACAAAAATTTGTAAGTTGATTTAGTGAATACAATTTTTATAATTTAGAGAGAAAAAAGAGAGGAAAAAAAAGAGAAAGAGACAGAGAGAGAGAGAGAGAGAGAGAAAACTAAAGCAAAGTTTTATTATTTCCGAGTACATTTCTATATATTCAGAAAGATTAGAAAGATTAGAATAATTATTTTTGGATAATCAAGTAAATAAAATTAAATTATTGTTATAAATCATTTTTAAGGAAGCGGATACACGTGCATGTAAATATAAAAAAAATATTTTTTATTTGTTTAAAAACAAGTTTAAAATTTGAAAATTCCTAGTACACAAATCTTATACAGGCCTTTATATAAAAAATAATTGAATATTCAGATTTATATATTTAGATAAAAAGATCCATTTATTAACTTTGAATAAACTATGTTACAGGTTATAGAATCAGGTCTTTTTCACACCGAAATGTTGATGATGTCAAATACATTGAATAAAATGAATAAGTTGTTAGAGCCAAAGTATCGCTTGAGCGGGAAGACTCTCTACGTGCAAAATGAAGATCCAATGCTTCTAGTGATTGAAGATCTCATGACTATCGGCTTTCGAATGGCCGATCGTTTATCTGGTCTTGATCTGGATCATTCTATATTGGCGCTTCATGGACTTGCTAGATTTCATGCAGCTTCCGTAGCTCTATGCGAGAAGGTAAATCATCAAGCGATACTTACAACCAGTCGTAACATTAATCGTTGCAATTAATAATAATTCAGATTATAACACGGATGCGAGGACTAGTTTATCTTTGGCTTTTCAACATACGTGTTACCTGGGCTATCTCAAAATTTTCTCTAAAAAAATATTTTTTTTAAAATAAATTTGTTTTAAATTCGTTAGAAAATAATATTAAAATTATTGTGTAGATTTTTTGTATATTGTGATCTATATAACATTCCAAATTTCCAATTCACACTATTATAACAATTTATAATCAAATATATAAATGTTCTTTAATAACAATATTTTAATATTTAGGAACCAAAGCAAAAAGAAATGTATTCGAAAGGACAATTTAATGAGCAACAATCATTAGAAATGAAGGATATTTTCATTAAATGTACTAAAGGTTTAGCAAAAGAGATTGCATACTGGCCTGAAGTAAAACAGTAAGATTTGCATAAACGATAATATTTATTGCTTTATTTTTTAATGTTCATGATAACATTTTATATGATACAAGATAAATATTTAATATAAAAGAAGCGAACATTAAGCAGAGAATGGCAAATGCAAACATTATATATATTATGCTGCTTATAGCGAATTTATATAGCTTTTACATAATTTTATACAATTTTGCATTTATTTCATTTGTACTGCTAGATACTCGGAAAAAATAGCTAAACTCTCCGATCACATATATCAAATAGGAATAGATGCAACAAAGCTTTGCAAAGAAGAATTTAATGTTATTACTCACGGTGATTTTCACGTGAACAATATGTTGTTCAAATATAACAATGATGGCAAACCTATTGATCATATTTTTGTAAGTATTGTCATATTTACATTGAAAATATACTTTTTCACAAATATACTTTTCACAATTTAGACAAATGAAAATTTTATCATGAATACAATTAAATGTAACGAAATTTAGTTAATTTATTTCATTGATCTATATTTCTGAATTTTTATAGCTATATAATAATAACAAATTTAAATAAAAATAAACAAAATAAACTAAATAAATGAACTAAATAAATACATTTTAAAACAAAAATTATAGTACAAATGCATTTTTTAATTATCTGAAATGTGGGATTTAACGATCAAATAGGCGGTGTGATAATAGAAGAAACTTGGAAATATTATACAATATGTATGAATAATGCAATGACCTCAGATGTTTAATCGCATTCTATACTCGTCGATTTATTTTCTGTCCAAATCGTCTGCACAAATTATAAACCTTGTTGCTGAAATTTCTAAATATAACATTTCTAAACATGATGTCTCACTTCCGGAATGAATAGATTTCATTTTCAATCCAATATTTTGCCGAGAACTCGAAAGATTGATCGATAGGACAGATTCATTTGATTATAGGTAGACTTCCAAATGTGCGTTTACGCATCACCGGCACTCGATGTATTATTTTTTCTCAATACATGTCCTTTCTTGGATGTTATGGAAAACAAGAAAAATATTCTATTAAATGAATACTTTAGCACCTTGTTGGCAACTATGAAGGAATTGAATTGTAAGACGCCGCCGCCTACTATGGAGGAACTGAAAGCTACCATGAAGCGAAAAGCTGACTATGGAATGATAATATTTTTCGTCGTTTTACCATTTATGCTGTGCTCTAAGAATGAGGCAAAAGATTTGGATGAATTATGGAGCACTGGTATAAATCCAGGTATCAAGAGCGAGATTTATAAAAAGTTAATGATAAAAAGACTGCCATTGTATGACGATTGGGGTTTATTGGATCTCTAATATATACTTTATCTTCAGTAATAAAAAACAAAAATAGAAAAGAAATAAATCTAGATGAAAATATTAGAAATGAAAATATTAGATATTAATATTTATAGCAAATACAAAAAAATTATAACAATAGACAAAGAATGTTGATACATGACTTTTTTTTAAAAGGTCCTATAGAATTATTAATAATGACATACCTTTTGATATGAGAAATCAAAAATCATTTTCATAATGATATTTTGTTTTTATTTATTTAAGTTTTAAAATAATGATGATTTTTATATATTATATTATTGTATTACAAAGATAATGATATACATAGACATTCGTATAAATATATTTATTTTGTTGTGTATATAACAGATATATCTAATTTAACAAATATTAGTAAAATAAGTAATATTATTAAAAGATATGTACATAATATTATTTTATAATACTATTGCGAAAATGATATAGAAATTAATTAAGATGCAAAATGAAGTATTTTGATTTTTATTGACATATATAAAATAGATATAAGAATATTCAAAGTAATAAATTATATATATATATATATATATATATGTGTGTATGTATAAAACTGAATATGATTGTATATAATGAAATAACCTATATACAATAATAAAGTAATATATAGCCTGTCTGCGAGCGGTTTTTTAATTTTTTGTCTAGTTAAAAATTGCATGCTATTGGTCAACTTTAAAACTGAAAACATTCCTATACATTTAATTTTGCTGACCATGGGTTAAATTTATATTCTAATCTTTTATGTGCAAATATTACATTACAATTATGGTAATTGATTATCATTGATTAAGTTGACTATTAATAGCAAATTTTTAATATTAAATTCATTTTAATATTAAATTTGATTTGAACTGTCGCACTTGCGCACTTGCTTTTTTCGCCAGTGATAATCCTATCCCCCAATGTGTACAATTTTACAGCAAATATATATTAAGTAATGTCATAAAATGAAACAGAAAATAATAATTAAGTGAACAATAATAATTAAGTGAAATTAATTTGAAACAAAATATTTGATAGATATTTTAAAAAACAACAAATTTTTTGAAATAACGATTAGCTCATGCCTTCGTATTTGTTTCTGTGCGACGCATTGTTTTTATGATTATATTATTATTACGTATTGTATTTACTGTCGGTGTGCTATCATTCAATTTTAAACTCTTATTCTGACAGGTCAATGCTCCTTCCATCTTTAGTGGTTTTTTTTTTTTTAGAACGCAATTGCGATAAGTGCTTTATAATACGAAACGTCATATTTTACACAATCGTTCACTGTACACAATTACTGGTTGGTACGGTTGTTAGCTGATTCTTTAAATGGATCAAGATAACAATCATATATTACAGACGTTTCATATGGTTCAGTCGTTTAGAATTATGATAAAGAATAGGATTCATAATTGTTCTGCGATATATTATTTTTGATTAATACGAAATTTTTCTTTCGTTTGAATAATAACTTTCGCTATATACTTTGAACTGTATCATATTCAGTGAGAAATAACAAATCTCGATGTCAATCTCGACGTCGATTCGACATCAATTTGATGATTTTATGAGGTTCCCTCTACTCTGGTATTACACTCCAAAAAAGGGATTGAGATTTCACTTTTTCGGAGTGAATATCATGTCAAAAAAGTAAATCTCACACTAAAAAGAATGAAAATCTGCCACTCTTGAACAAAAGTAACCGTATTTTCTCTTTTTTTTTCAAGCTAAATTTTCAGTCTCTTCGAGTGAGATTCACTTTACCAGATTCAGAGAGTAAAATGAATATAAAATTCAATGCACCTAAAAACTATGAAATATTGATACTTTATATTTGATTAGAATCTTATGATTTTATGTTACAATATCCATTATCGTAATTACAGTTAAAAACTTCGTTTGTTGCATATCGGAACGGTGATGAAAATAAATTATTAAAATATTTACACCTCAAATTGGATTTATTTAATTTTTTACCAATATCATTTAGGAATTTTATTCTGACAAAACTGTTGCATTATAGCGAATCATCTTAGCGCAATTGCGAAACTTTTCGTCAGTCTATGCTACCATTATTGTGGAATTTTTTCATAATTTATCCATCGCAATGAAAATAAAGACTTTACAAAAGTATGTGAGTAACGATAACTTGTACGAATATCGTAACGGTTACTGTACGATTCTTTTGATGACGCTAATTATTTGTTGAACAAAAAAAATATCACATTGGTGCTCGTTTTATCATTGCTCCTTTATTTCCATTGGATTTATTGCTTGATTGAAAGATGAATCTCCATGAGTTTAATATTGAAGCTTCTGCAGTTACCTAAGACTTTAATGCAGGTACAAAGCCTGTGATAAATGAATAAATGGATGTAGTTATATATAAAGCCAGTAGTTATATATAAAGCACTTCTGTTCTGTATGTATCATTTTGAGACTGGCTTTAGAAAATGGCACAGTGAAACAAGTGTTTAAGAGAAATAAACGATTGAAGACAAAGACGAATAACTTACAGGTTAGCTACTTTATTATGTTGATCAATCCTTCATCATTATCAACCCTTTGTTTTCTTGACACTGATATTCAGAGATTATTTAAGAAAATTTTAAATAAAGTCATCTAAACATCGTAAATATTACGATGATGAATTCTTCATCGTAAATATTACGAGTGAATTCTTTGATATATATTGAACTTCAAAAATATAAGATTATTACTACAATGATACAATAAAGCAAGCTAATAAAAGCATGATCACCTATAATTTATAGAAAAATTTAGTTAATAAAATTTTAAGATATATAGATATGTTATATTTGATTAGAGCTAAAATTATGTTAATTATGCAATTATGTTAATAATGCATTCAGACATCAATAATTGATTGACTACATGATAATAATCTTAAATTTGGCATTAATCAATTTAATTAGCCGCCTGATGCAAATCCTACTGAAAATATTTGAACATATATCAAGCATAAGCTTTGTGGAAGACAAACATTCAGTTAATGTAGTTATTTCGAGAGATTCGCAGATATGGAGATCCTGGCTGCATGAAGACTGTTAAAAGACCGCCTGCATATTTAAAAAAAAACGTTCATAAAATATTCTGGAAAAAACTGTGATGCAATAGGTGTATTCGGGGAACGCACTATCAGTGCTATTTGTATCATGCTATTTTTATATGTGTCTAATGGACGATGAAATAAAAGGACACAAATAGCGTTAATAGTGTTGCTTTGAACACAGTCATTGTATGTCGGACAAACTAGTAGACGCAGTTGAAGACCAGAATTACTGAACACATCAGAATTTACATCAGAAGAAATACAGTTACTCATTCGTTGTTAGAAAATTATCACAGATTGTATCATGGTCATGATTTTAAATGGAATTATGTTAAAATTTTAGATGTTAAACAAAATTACGAGAACTGATTTCAGAAATAACTACATAATAATAAGCGGTAAAAGAATGGCAATTCATTAATTTCAATTCATATACTAGGTGGGGTGAAAAGTAACCTCCTTGGGAATGAAAAAAATTTTTTTCTTATGCAGAATCTCGCCCAAAATATGGCGTGTTCGCTCAGTACTAATCTTTGTAGCATCTGCTAGCTCGCGCACCTTCACTTTCCGGTCAGCCAACACCATTTCATGTATTTTTTTGACATTTTCCTCGGTAACCGCATCGGAGGGCCTGCCGCTGCGGACTTCATCGGTAGTGGAGTTGCGGCCACCACGAAACTCTCGAAACCAATATTTGACGGTGTAATCTGACGGAGTATTAGCCACATAATATTTATCCAACTTTTCTTTTGTTTCCTTCGCCGTTTTGCCTCTCAAAAAATAATGTTTTATGAGAGAACGAAAATCGTTTTCGCAAACACGTCAACAACAATCAGCTCTCAAAACTAAGGGCAGTATCGCACTGCCACTTGGCATGTCTGCCTAAATATGAACGGACTACAAGGCACCATAAACTTTTTTGCAGTAGTGGCGCATTCTGGCGGTCAAGGAGGTTACTTTTCACCCCATCTAGTAGAATGAATAGTGTATCATTGTCGCTTATTGTTATATGTTCACTAATTATTTATATTTTCTGATAACATTTTTTTCTTTGACCATTGATTTAAATGATGATTTTAGATTACGAATTACTGTATCACACAAAATTGTTATATTATAATTTCAGTTCCGTATTCAGTTATCGTATTCAGTTCTTCTTTATTGTATTGCGCTCTTTTTTTTTTAAATAGGAGGACCATATCTTTCTTTTGATATATTTTTTGTTAAATGCCGTCTGCGTTTCTGATACTTGATTAATCCCGTCCTTAATTTATCCCGATCAATTATCCCGATCTTTTACACGATGGAATTAATTTCAAGGACTTCATAGAATTTATTTCAACTCTTATTTGAGACCATCCAGCTTTCTAATTAGTTATGAGATGAAGACTGTAATAATTTGTATCTACGTTTTTACTGCGCTCATGAAAGTTAAGAAATAGCCGAAATGTATGCATTTTATCATATGACTTAGTCGTTTTTTATTATACGACTAAATGTCAAATAGTAATTTTTAAAACAACGATTAAATATAATTTTTTGTTAATGAACAATTAGCACACTAATTACAGACGCTAACTACTAGAAGATCTAATTTCATCCTTTTTATTCGCAATTTACAAAAAATTAAACAGAAAAGAAAGATTGCGATCATGGAATAAGAAGAGGGATATAAAATATTATCAGTATAATATAATTTTCTACATATCGATTAAGTGAACATCACATTTTGTTATTACAGTAATGTACAAGAGTCCAAATAATAAATCAATAAACAACAAATTGAATATTAACTTAATTGACAAGATTTATTAAAAAGAATAAAAAATTAATTGAAATCTCTAATATGCGCCAGACTTGTCGAAACTTTTTCGTATATATTAGGTGTTGGAATTAATTCGTAGCGTTTTACAAGTGATGGGAAGTACTTTCATTAATGTATTTTTTAATGCTCATGTGAAATAAATAACATTCTT